CAGTCCTCGACAGGTTCTACTGGCTCCCTATCATAGAACAGATTGACTTCAAGATTCTCACACTCACCTACTAACCCCTGACATCTCCCTACCTCTCCAACCTACTTAGTCCCCACTCACCGCCCACTGCTTCCGCTCAGCTAGCTTCGGCCTCCTGTTTGTCCCTAGTCCCCTCCGCTTCACTATCAGTGGCTGTGCTTTCAGCGACTACAATTTCTTCGCCTTGGCCTCTCCTTCCCCTTTTTGCAAATCATGCCTGAAGATCTTCGTGCTTATGATCACTTCCCTACCTAGCTCGGCATCAGATTCCACCACTATTAAACACTCCGAGACACTGGCCTGTGTGTAGGATGCTATATAAATGCTGTTCTTGAATCAAATAAATCTTCAGGTCCCTATGGAATGTGTCAAAAAATACTGATGGAAGTCAAGAGACTCTGACTACCATTTTCCAGAAGTGTGTAGACACAAGGGTTGTCACAGAGGACTGGAGAGTGGCAAATATTTTATTTATTTTATTTTCACTTTATTTGAGAAAGTGGAAAACTACAGACTGATGTCAGAAGTAGGGAAGCTGCTTGAAGTCATAATAAAGGATGTCGTTGTGAATATTTGGAAAAGATGGAACTGATAAAAGATAACCAGCATGGTTTTCTAAAAGAAAGATCGTATCTGACTAATTGAATTCTTTGAAGAGGTAACCAAAAATGTGAATAAGCGAGATGAAGTAGATGTTGTTTGTTTGGATTTTAGGAAAGAGTTCAATAACGTGCCACATACAAGACTTACGATCAAAATTAAGGTACATGGAATAAGGGAAAGTTACTAAAGTGGGTAGAGGAATGAGTACAAATAATAATAATCTTTGCATTTGGTATAACGCCTTATCACGTCTTCTAGACGTCTCAAAGCGCTTCACAGAATATATTGTAAAGTGAATTGACTGTATATTTGTGGACGAAAGCGGTAGAGAGTGAGAATAAAAGTAGACCCAGAATAGTAAACAAAAGATTTTTCTACCAAACTTACAGTGGTGTAGGAATATGTTATAGATTTCCCTTTAACCTATTAGAATGAGCGAGTAGGTAAAATATTTCTATCCTTTACCTGCTAAAAAGATACTAATCAGAAATTTCCGGTATAATTGTTTGGGTTATCTGAGTGTCGTAGCGCTACACATTAGGTATTTCCCACCAGATATGTCACCCACATGTGAAGATTTCCCTGTCTCTGGAAAAGATTACACACTCTGACCCTGGAGGGACACATCTATATGTGTGTGTATGTGTATATATATATATATATAAACTATTGAAATGTGCAAGTAAGAAACTGATAAAGAATTTGCACAGGACATTGCTGGAATATTGTGTGCAGGTTTGGGCACCACATTGTAGAAAGGATATTAAATTTATCGAGAGGGAGCATTTTTAGTTCAAACTACAGGAGATCAAAGAATTTAGCTACAAGGCGAGGTTAGAGAGGTAGAACTCTTCCTGTTAAAACAGAAAATGAGGTGATATGATGGAGTTATTTTAAGATGATAATCCTTGCATTTGATATAGTGACTTTTACTTTGTGTGGATGTCCCAAAGCAGCTCACAGATTTACTGTAACGTGTAGTGTCTGTAATTTGTCGTGAATTTGACAACCAATTTGTGCACAGCAATGAATGAAAGGCAATGAATGAAGAAGAATGAGATATTTTGAGAGAATTAATTGTGGAAAAACTCTTTCCACTAGTAGGGGATTCGGGTACAAAAGGGCATGAATTCAAGCTCGTGACGATGGGAAATAAAAGAAGAGTTTCAGGAGAACTTCTTCCCAAGGGCTTTTTACTTTATATACTGATGTTTTAAAACAGAAAATCACATCATCATAAAAATGATTAGCTTCTGTATCTGTTAAATTTTACTGTCCATTTCGAGGGTAAAGTAATGGATGTGAATAGTTTTTTTTTAGATCTGGTGACGTCACTGTTACCGGACAGGTGGATTTACTGAGTTGAAGGGTATGAGGGAAAAAGAGCTTATACTACAGTTACAGCGAACACAGAAACTGAAAGAATAAAGCTTGAGTCCTTTAACTTGAATACAAACACTGACTGACGCTTATGTTTTTCAATCCCTCCCCCTCCAAATATTTCCCTTCTCCTTGAAGGCAGTGATTCATGGTGAACTCGCGGTCTTGAACTCCATCCTGGAATCCATCCGTCTTGTCCCAGCTCACGTTCAAAGTCAGCCTCAAGGCGTACCTCTTTGAGTGCTCTTTCGGTCACCTTTCCTTCCCCACCCTCTTCAGCTTCTCCCCCCTCCAGCTTGGGTGCCCAACCAGCAGCAACGTGAAGCGCTTTAAGACTCCTCTGTGTGCCTCCTGAATTGTATGCTGATTGTGGAACACTGCTCACGCAAATTGGCTGCCATGTTTGCGAACAAAAAAAAAACACACACGCCACTGCACTTTACTGTAAATCTAGTGAAGCACTTCGAAGCAGCTCCACTCAGCATAAAGTGCATGTGTTCATGGCGTGGTTCATATTGATCTGAGAGTTCCCGAGGTAGGAAGTGCTGCAGTTAGTTGCACCTCAATGCAAGTTCAATATTGCCACAGAGTACCCGAAAGCTTCACGTAGTGCTTTATGCCAAACAGGGCCCACATCTCCATATTCTATTTTTGTCTGGGATTTTCCCAGGCAGTAAATGCACATGCGGTTAGTTCTCTTTGTTAACCAGTATTTGCCAAACACGGGTTGCTGGAGCATGCATTAGACTGTGAGAAAACTGTTACCTGTTGGTGACCCCAGCAAAATTTCTCAATCTTTCTGCCCTCCCAGCAACCAGCAGAACCAAATTCAAGGGCCATCTGTCCTTGCTACAGTTAGTTCCGACTGCACCCTGTTGTTACTACGCTCTGGTATTGCAAGAAAGAAATCCTGTAGTTACATGAGCTCTTGAGGAGTGTGCGAGCACACAACCAGCCAATAGAATGACTGTACAGTCAGACCACTATTATAAGGTAGCTGATCAGTCTCCGCATTGAAGCGGTGTTTGCTTTGTAACATTGCAGAGCTCCATGCTGACTCTGGTGAGCAGTGCTTTGTGTTAACGGGTTGGAGTGTTTGCTTTCCTTTCAGTGCGGGTTGGCACTGACTCCTGATGGATAGCCCTTCCTCCAGCAAAGGCCCTGAGTGTTTAAGCAAATGTAGCACTTCACACACAGCGGGGCCTTCCTGACAGCTGAGACAAATGAACAGAACCAGCTCTTGTACAGTGTTGATGGGGAAATGTACCTGGGTCAAGATTTCACTGATGATTTTTGCGGTGGAGGGTGGGGAAACATTACATACACAGAATAATGGTTACCTGAGAGGGAATTTTGGAGAGAAGTTGTTATTGAGAGACCAAAGTCAAAGACCAAAACCCAGAAAAGATGGGCTTTGGTCTTTAAAAGGTGATTTACTTACAACAAAATAGGGCTTTTAAACATGTATAAAATATAGGGGGAAGGGAAGACTTAAGAAAGGTGACGTTCAACAGTCTTTGCAGGCATGGGAGGAAATAAATACCTTAAAAGTTTCCATTTTTTTTTTATATGCCCACACATTTTAAGGTACCGCTCCATATAGTTTATATTATACTGATCCTGTCTCCACTTTTATATTTTCTTAGATTTATGAACTAAAATGTAGGTGGATTAATTATTTGAAACACAAAAGGATGGCAATCAGGATTTGAGGGAGAAAAATTGGATTGAAAATTGCAGGGAATGATGCTTCCATCAGAACTGGGATTATGATTTACATTCAGGGAATTTCTGACATTTATAGGCTCTTGCGAAGACCGCGATGCAGTCCATTGCAGTAGATAATGGGGTTGGCTAAAACTGCAGCTCAGCAGTGAGTTTCACATTGTTGTAGCTGTTCCTGGAAAAGTCTTTGAAAATGGCAATGTTGATCCACAGTAGATCTACAGTATTGTAAGGTCATATAACCTGTAGGAAGGCCTAAATGATACCAGCAATACAGGCTTTCAGCTACATTGGGGTAAAGTGGACTTCCTGTCATGTTGAGGCTTGTATTGGTACAAATCTTAATTGTCACAGGGAAATACTATCGGACAATCCTGTTGTAACATCTCGCTATAGAGTGGGTTCCCTTCTCATGCTGAAATTCTTTGGAAGTTCACTGTGATTCAGTTCAGTTCCTACAAACCTGCAAGCCAAGCCCCAGCATGCAGGGTGGCGCTAGCTGGACCAAGCAGGAGAAAGCTTACCTCAATGATTCTCTCAATGGCAAGGTTTAAGCTGGTTAAACTCCAGCACTGCTGCGATTCGCACTCTGGGAGCTCCCTTCTCTACCTGTGCCTTCAGCGCTTCAGGACGCTACCCCGCATCAAGGGCGCTATATAAATGCAAGTTGTTGTAATACTCTCTGGTGCTTTGATCCAGAGAGAAAGCACATTCCATTCCAGGCATGGAAATTTCCTTGCACAAGTGGCGTGTACATGTGGAGCTCTCAATCTGATTTGGATTACGGTGATGGGTTTGCGCATGTGACAGACACTCAGCTGATCAAAAACGTCCCTAGCTTGAACTCAGAAAGTTCTGACTTTATGGTACTAAAACAGATAGAAGTACTATAGTTTGTTGTCTATCCTGACACAAGGGGATGGTTGGGCACACAAGGGTGAGTGTGCGTGTATGTTTTTGTAATCATTTTAGAGTGTCATTAACATTTCTTACGATCTTAAGGACAGAACAAGTCGTACAATTCATAAAACACAAATGTGTTTCTTCTTTCACCACTTATCTTCAGAAATCAAGAAGCAGAGATTTATTTGGACAAAATTGTTTGACTAAAGAATTTTTTTCTGGCTGCTGGATCTCACTTATATGACATGTCATCATATTCAGCAATCATTTTCAGCACAGATTCATGTTTTTCTGCCCACTCAGAGAGGACATTTGTTTATGCTGGTTTCTTTCTCTCTCGCTCTGTTTAGATTGTGCTGGCCATTGTGCCTCGCTGTGAAACTCTTTAGTTTTACTTCCTTGCGGCTGTGCAATGGATCCAGAGCCAAGACATTTGCAGTCCGTATTCTACATGTGGCTCACCGTGCTTCTTTCCTCCGTCACAGCAGGTAAGATGTGGAACCTTTGCTTCAATCTGTGTTTTGTTGAGCAGGAGATTTGGGAACAAGCAGGTGGGTTGGTAAACTTGTGTGAAAAGTGACAAATGTTAGTTCTGGGAGGTAGAACACCGTCTGTAGGATAATGCCTATGAAAATTTGCCTGTTAAATATCTAAATCTGATCTACTCCTCCACAGACTTAGTACCTCGGTTCTCAACGGAGCCTTTCTCAGCTCTCCAGAAACTAGGGGGACGAGTTCAGCTACACTGCAGTGCAGAACCCGTCTCAGCACAAGTTACATGGCTTTTCTGTGGTCAGAAATTAACGGACAGTGGGCAGAATGGAATAGAAATGCAATCAGGATACTTAACGATCTCAAATCTACAGACATCCCATGTTGGAAGGTACCAGTGTGTGGTGAGCAGTCCTATTGGTGCAATAGTCAGCAGTCCTTCCTCCGTCACCATTGCAAGTGAGTATTTAATAATAGTAGTAATAATTTAACTAGAAGTGGGTAGGTGGGGTGTAAATTTATGTTTTACATAACAGAGTATAGCCAAAGACAACACTCACCGGAAAACACACAAAGAAATTATCTGTGTGGATGGGAGGCACCAATTCAAAACTTTATATAATGTAAAGTAACAAGTTATTTGTAGAACCAACTGTAGCATTCAGTGAGTCTGTCTGTAGAAAAACCCCAGAATACAAAAGTAACTTGTAAAATTCACCCTCATTATGACAGTGTCATATTGGTGGTTGTGCTTTTTTCAAATTTGTTAAAACTGTTTCTTAATTTTTTCAGGTGTAAGTGACTTTCAGCCACATAACCAGCGTGTAGTTACAATAGGTGAAGGAAGCACAGGAGTCATAGAGTGCCATTTACCTGACAGCAAACCCGCTGCATTAATCCGCTATCGAGTGAGAGGCAAATGGCTGGAGCAGTCTACAAGTGAGTGATCTCTCAGCCTTGTAACGAGGCTGGACCAGGCAATTCATATTCACACAGTTTCCATTCAGTGAACACTGTCCTGCTTCACGTACCTCTTTTGATCTAGCCCACCATCAGTAAACAAGTTTTCGCTCATTTCTGACCATGCCCTATGGAGTTCCTCCATATCGACCCTCCCTCCTACCTTTAAAGTCGGCCTTAAGATCTATCTTTTCGGTCACACTTCTGGTCACATTTCCCCACCCTCCTCAGCCCCATCCCTTTCCCCAAAGGGCAGGCTCCCAAGTCAGCTGTATGAAATATCAGCACGTGATACCTATATTTTAAACAGCTTTTAGGCAACAATAGCTTGCACTTATATAGCGCCCTCCACACAAAGCGTTATTTCAGTTCCCTGAAACCACAGTGGCTGATTTGTGTTCATTACTCTTTGAACTGATACTTGTTTAGCGAACGTCTATAGCTTCAGAAGGTTTGTTGTCGTGGTCTGCTGCTCACTTTTTTCACTGCTTCCAGAAAACTATTTAATCCTACCATCGGGTAACCTGCATATATTGAATGCCACGCAGCAGGATAAAGGAGCATACAAGTGTGGAGCATACAATCCTGTCACTCATGAGATGAAGATGGAGCCTTCAGTTCACAAAGTGCTCGTCAAACGTAAGTGTGTAACTGGGATGTGTTTCCAGGATATTCTTTTCCTATTACTGTCCAAGTCAGTACTTCTGCTTCAGGAATCAAGTGCTCCACAGAATGCTTGTAAAACCTTGTCAAAGTGAAGTCCATTTGCTCAATCGCACATTTGTGATCTCCCCTCACTCTCAAATCACTGTAGAGTGCATTAAACATTACCATAAACAGCCATGAAGTGAATGACCAGTTTTATCCAGAGAATTGTTGGCAGGACACAGGGAGACATTCAAATAAGACTCTTTTCAAAAGACTCTTTTCAAATAGTTTCATGGAATCTTTTTATATCCATCTGAACAGACACAGACAGGACTTTGGTTTAACATCTCAGGACGGCATCTCTGGGAAGTGATAGAATCACTGACACTATTTGTGTATGTGCAGTTGCGTATTGTAGCTATGTCCCAGCACCTTGGAACGTCCTCCCGACATGAAATACGCTATAAAAATGTAATTTTGTATAGTATTGTATATTCTCGTTTTGAATTCATGGACTTTCAAGGCAGTCCCACTGGTATATCGATTTCAGTTTCATTAGATTTGTCAATGAAATGATAAAAATATGGATGTGTTAAGCTCAAAGTGCCTTTCCTCTGTACAGGTGTGTACATTTTATAGATTTTGCTGTCTGTATCTAACCCACTGTTCATCTTCACTTATCTACCTTAACCCACAGGCTTTTCAAACAATCCTGCACACATTGTTTACCCCACAACCCCACAAAATGTTACCGTAATTCAGCATAGTCCTCTGACCCTGGAATGTGTGGTAAGCGGAAGTCCGACCCCCAACGTCCGATGGCTAAAAGATGGAGTGGATGCATTTGAAAGTGGAAGAAGACGATTGTTTCGTACTAACCTGATAGTGGATCGAGCTGTGGAAATGGATACAGGAAACTATTTATGTATAGCGGAGAATGAAGCTGGAGTGCTGGTATCTTCCAACTACACAGTGACAGTTCACGGTAAGTGAAACCGTCTTCGTTAACACATACTTGATGTTGGTCAACTTTTTCCCCTCTATGGCTTTCCAGCAGATTATTTCCTATTGCTGATAAGCTAAATACTTTTATTCACCACTCCTGTTAACTTCTGATGTTTTTTCCTCTAGAACCAGCTGCAATTGTCAAAGGTCTGCGCGATGTGACTGTACCATTGGGATCCACAGTACGCTTCACTTGCAATCCACGTGGAAACCCAAAGCCTAATGTTACCTGGTTCCACAACGCTGCCCCTGTACAGTTGGGCCTTCGGCATCTGATCGTGGGAAGCAGATTAAAGATCGTGGCACTGATTGCTGAAGATGCCGGGATGTATCAATGCATCGTAGAAAATGGAATCGGCTCTGCTCAATCCTCAGCAAGACTAGCAATCCAGTCAGGTACGTAATCAAGGTGTGAATTACATCGGATAGAGATCTTAAGGATTTCTAAACGGGTTTGATGCACAAAAGTTAAACAGCGATTCACCACACGGCATGAAGAGATATGGTTTCAAATTTATCTCCGCCTTATTCTGCTGACTGTCTGATCTCGGGCACACTTTTATGGGTCGATGGCTAAGGCTAGAAATCACCCTGAGACAGCAGAGGGATGAGCAAATCCTGTGCGTGTTCTGGAATATGTCTGAAAGCAGAATTAGTAGCAGTGTGGGAGAGGCTACCTTGGTATTCCAGCTGTAGGTGGCGCTTGCCTTTTGAGAGACAAGTAGAGCAAAAAATCAGCCAAAGGAACTTCAGTTGTATAACTTTCATTTTAACCCTGGGGAAAACCCTAACCTTAATGCTTGCCTCAGCCAACAAATGTTTGGTTATTACGAGAAGTCTACCTTCTGGCCTCTGAATAGGTGAGAAAGAGAGGACTTAATGCCAGATACTCAATTTAAGGATGCACATGCACCACACAATTAAATGTTGTTGTGTTTTTAAAGCATAATGTGCAGAGAAGTGCAGTGGATATATTTTGCAATGATATAACTGAGCTCACAAAGTGAGTTGGCTAGCTGGTGCTAAAGTTGGTTTGCCCACAGGGGAAAGAAATGTGTACCTGATTATAACGGAGCAGGGAAAACAAAATGTTTGTAAGGGTTTTTTAGTTAAGCTGCACAGGTTAGGAAGAGCCTGAACAGGTTAGGAGGAGTCTGAACATCCTCAGGAACTGCTGTGTCGACACGGCTGTATTTTTCCAAAGAACATGTGTGAACATGTGTTGAATCTTGTTAATTCATAAGCATATTTCTTTCAGAAAGTGACACTTTTTTTTGTTCCATTCTTCACAGACCGAGGCACGAAACCTGTAATCATTTCTCCGCCCATAGATGCCAGAGTGTTTGAAGGAGAATTTGTTGTACTGACATGTAATGCCACCGGCCAGCCTGCACCAGTTATTCGCTGGTTGGATAGCAATGGACCAATAACTAGTCATCCATCCCAGATTCTCCGACCAAAACTGCGACCTTCTCAATTATCCGGGATGGGCAGTGCCACTTCCGGTAGTCCCCTCACCATGTCCAGAGCGGGATCAAGTTCTTTGTACATACGCAAGGCCACTGTGGAACATTCCGGGCAATACATCTGCATGGCCTCCAACAATCTGGGCACAGTACAAGCAGAGGCCGTTTTGTCAGTAGGTGAGTTCTTTTGTATTTTTGTTTCTTTTACCGAGCAAGTGCTTGGTGTGGAGAGATGTCTTAACCATCAGTGGTTGTCATTTTTTGAAGCTTGTTACTGGAAGAGCAGCTTCCATGTTGTATTGGGATGGATCCAGAATACATTTTCAAAGGATGCATGAAGCATACGTAAGAAGGAAATAATGACAAGCTAGAGCAGAATTGATGGTGTGGAGAATTTGTGGTTGTGCAACTCTAAATTGAGGTTGATGCATAGATGCAAGTGTATGCATCATCATTGTATTATCTTGGTTTGAAACTCTTCTGTAATTACAACTGTGGACCTTTTTTTGTTCGGCCATATAAATTCTTGCTTAATATAGAAATCTTTGCACATTATATAGCGTCTTGATCACATCTTCGAGACGTCTCGAAGCGTTTCATAGAATATACTGCAAAGTGAATCAACTGTCGTGGATTTTTTATATTAAATTTTTTAAAAGATTGTATGACAGTCTAGTACTTTAGAAATCAACAGTTGTCATAGTGTAAGAAATGTTGGACAGTGTAGCTTATTATTTATTAACAGGTGTGTCGTTATTTGTTCCCTTGTAATTGCCATGGCCTATACCATGGGTGCTTGCCCTTTAGGGCTGATCGACAATGCTGTCGAAAGCACACAAAACAAATGTACTCAGCCACGCTTATGTAGCCGTTTAAACCCTTCCAATGCTCCTAAGGCAATGAATTCCTTGACGGCCATCGGAACTCCAGGCTCTGCAAAAGACTAGCTCAGTGAAGTGTAGAACGTAAGTCAGTGGGCCTTGAGTTAAGTAATTGAATGTTTGCGACTGAATGCTCCACGGTATAAATGCTAATAAAGCAGCTGAGAGTTGCTGGCAGCTCCTCACAATTGATAGCTTCTTTGTTGTTGAAAACTGTGCCAGTTTCAACAAGTGCAGCCCATCTCTTCTATCCTGCTGCTGCCTGTGGTAACCTAAATAAATAAACCAGAGCAAACTCCGTCTGGCTTCAATTAGAAGAGAAGCTCTTGATAGTTTTCCTCGGTTTTCACACAAGAGGCTGAGCATTTAACATCTGGGATCGTAAGTAGGTTTCTTCTGGCACAGAATAAGAAGCCTATGACTTTGCATTGATGGTATTTTAATTGGGACAAGAAAGAACGTGAAGGGAGCCCAGCCTATGTTCTATGTGTTTGCGGTTCCGTGAAATTGGCAAAAGTGGCTTTACTTTTGAGCCAAAAGCGCTTTGAGACGTCTTGAAGATGTGATAAGACACTATATCAAATGCAAGGATTATTATTACTTTCTTCTGTCTTGGCAGAAACGAGGAGCAGGGTCGATGAGCAAAGTCCCACGCCCCTCGGGAGAGGCTCCGACATCATTCAGAGTGACGAAGGGGCAGATTATGATAAGACGGGCCTATTGCACCGACAGCCAACAAAAACAGCTGTACCCGAAACTGAGAAGGTCAACATCCACTCCCTACCCGATGCTCCCATCATTCTCAGCCCCCCACAGACCATCAAGCCAGACACCTATGACTTAGTGTGGCGCCCAGGGAAAGATGGCGGCACACCCATCAATGCCTATTTTGTCAAGTATCGAAAGGTACATTCGGGTGCATAAACGTACCATTCGATCGTATCTTCGGTCACCTACCTCCCCTCGCTTTCTAGCTCGGCATCAAACACTACACTTAACTGTCTAAGATACTACCTGCCCGAAGAGCGCTGTATAAACTCAAGTTGCTGGTCATTCCCACTGGTCCTGATTGTTATGGTCTCTGTAATTGGCCTTTTTGTCTTGTGTGTGGAACAGATAACTCAAAAAGGGATCACAGGGAAAAGACGATTAGACAATTTTGATTTAATTTCTTTACGCACAGTAGTGAATGCATGGAATAAATCGGGTATCAGCCTGACTCGGTTGGCAACACTCTCGCCTCACAGGACAGACGAGGATTTTTTTTATTTTAACTTCTTTCTTGTAGCTGGATGACGGTGGAAATATGGTGGGAAGCTGGCATACAATCCGTGTTCCTGGAAGTGAGAATGAACTGCGACTCAGCGAGCTGGAATCCTCTAGTCTGTATGAGGTGCTGATGGTCGCACGGAGTGCTTCAGGGGAGGGCCAACCTGCCATGCTGACATTCCGAACCAGTAAAGGTACTGATGATGAACATTTTGCTGTAACCCACAGTAGCTCTTTTATATCTACTGTTCAGTTAAAATGCGACTGAACTTCTGATTTAGGTGTACAGTTCTATGTATCGTAACGTATTTCAGCAAATCAGACTGAACAAGTTTATTGAACACTGATAATCGGCAAATTACTCATTGAACTATTTGCAGTGATAATTAAAATTGTTCAATTTTACATCATTGAGTCGACATAAATGCACACGCACACAGACGGATATAAACACACAGTTTATATACACAAGAAGGTTAGAGGTCAGTATTTGTTGAAATCAGTTCAAGCTCAACCATGGTTGCCATTAAGTTGCAGCTACAATTGGTTTCACTGAGCCCTGGTCTATCAGAGAGAGGAAGTTTCAGCAGAGGTTTGTAGCCTGATCGCTCTCCATTGATCCTTGCTGGAAAGTCCGGGTTGTAGTCCACCTCAGCCTGAACACACTTACGCTATTGATAGTCTGTTAGCTCATGCTTACAAGTGAAGGATGTGCCTCTTGTGTAAGATATCAAATGGTGCCCAGTGCTCACGGAACAGTACCTGACCAACAATCAGTACCTTTAGAACCTCATTGGACTCTTATCTGTGTAGAAACGTAAAAAAAGGATCTTCATAAGATCAGCCCTTTCAAAATGGCAAACTGTTACCTCATCTTTAATGTACATCTACTTGAGGGAGAAAAAAGAAAAGGCTGTAAGAGCCGTTTCAGTGACCGTTTGCAACAGCTAAGCAGCGAACGGTCTCTTGAGAAATATTTCTCTTTTGTTCGAAAGAGCGAGCGTCCGCCCCGAAGAAAAATACGCAGACGCCATCACAACCGTTGGGAGTTCCCAAACAACCAGCACTGGAGGATAACAACGGCAGTCGATTCGGTGTAGTAATGGCCGATCCTTCACGGCACAGTGGAGGTACATATCCACCTGCAGTCCCTTCCCAGCTCCCTCCCATCTCAATCTCTTTATTTTCTTCTCTTTCTCGTCTCCCTGAACGGCCTTAATCCTAGTATCAACCCTCCCTCCTCCTCAACTCTTCCCCCTTTGTAACCTTTGAATCTACAGTTTCTGATTTAATCTAAATTGTTTACATGCTTTTCTGATGTTTGACATTCTACCTTCAAATTCAAATTGCCCGTTCCTGTTTAGAGTGACTTTGCTGATATAGATTAGCTGCTTGATGTTCACTTCATTTCTGAGATAGTATTTTCTAGTACATATAGATTTTTTTCACATGGAAGGTATCTTTATCATATGTGTTAGTGATATCTAGTGGCAGAACACTAGTATTGCATCATCTTTTTATTGCAGTAGATTAATAGTGTCTAATTTGGAGATCTCGGATCCTTTCTGAAGTGTTTAGATAGAATGTCAACTGTCCGTTGCCCTGTGCAATCGACTACCTTTCTGTTAATTAATGCTTTGAGTAAATGCTGTTACTAACACTCTCTTCTTCTGTCTTCTTTGCTCTCTAAAGTTCCTCTGAGTTCAGTAAGTATTGTATTGATAAACTCCTAAACTGTGGAATATTGTCATGTTCAAATTGTAAAATGTATTTAACAGTTTGAGGATAATTGTGAATATGTTGATGCCAACGTTTTTTAAAAAAAAACTTATGTTGATGGAGTGGCTAAGCATTAGTCTCTTATTTCTGGGATTTCAGTTCAAATTTCACTCAAGTCAGTGGGGTAAAGTCTGTAAGGGACTAAAATGATTTTAAAAAAAGTTTCTAGTAGGCATGAATCTACAGCACAAAACTACTTCTACTTGGACGCTAAATTGGGAATCTCACTCAGCAAGGCTGGAGGATAGTTGGTGTGAATGAAAAGAGCACTTTTGTGAAGTTAGTGGTGCTCTTTTGGGTTTCACTCATTTTGAGCAGAAAAGATGGTGTTTTACTTTAGCATTAAGCTTTTATCTATGAACCTGATCTGGACGCACAGTGCCTAAAATTAGAAAATGTTATGTTCTCCTTACCTTGAAAAGAGGCCAAAAGTTTTTAGACCAAAAGTATTGGGGTCTGATGCTTTCTGTTTATTCATTTTACTGCGAGTAAAAGTGTTCTCTTAATTCTGAATGTTTTTACAATTCCAATTTATGACCTTGAGAAAATTAGTTTATATTTTTGTTGTATTGTGGAAAATTACAGTCATATATTTGGCGAACAAGGCACAAATTCCAGTACTCATGGGGTTAATGTATATGTTGCTTTTTATAAAAAGGATAAAAGGAGTAGCTTAAAATTAGGCTTTTTGTTTGGAAATGTTATAATTCATTTGGTTATAGAATTCGACTTCTGATTAATGATTGCTTAACTGTCGTGTGCCACAATTGCCAAGAATTGCCATTCCTGTCTGTTTGATTGGCACATGTTGAACTGTGAACACGGTAGTTTCACAAACCATCCTACTACTTTGCAGAAAGTTCCTGCTATACTGAGTGCTGCAAGCATTCTCAGTGCGGAACCGTATCTCTCCAAGTGCCACTATAGCACTTTAACAAAAGCTACGAAAGAACAAGAAAGAGGACAGTTCCTAAAACATGGGGACTGACCACACATTTTAGGAACCATCTGTATATTTCATTTTTTTCTTGCGTCCTGGAACTCAAATCAAGATTTATTATCCTGTGGCTAAGAGGCTCTGTGACTTATGTTTTATTGAGCCAGTGGTAAACAGAATAATGACCATGTCGTTTTCTCTGTTTAGTCCCTGAAGCGCCAGATCGTCCAACCATCTCAACTGCGTCTGAGACTTCTGTGTATGTGACTTGGATTCCAAGAGCAAACGGTGGCTCCCCCATCACCTCATTTAAAGTGGAATACAAACGAATGGGGAGGAACAGTGACTGGCTCGTGGCAGCAGAGAACATCTCTCCATCAAAACTCTCCGTGGAAGTACGCAACCTCGAACCAGGTAAGAGCTTAATGATAGTAAGAATCTTTGCACTTGATATTGCTCTTGATCACATTGTTGAGACTTGGAGAAGAACAGGATTAGACGAGTGCACCACCTGAACAGGAAATTATCGCAGTCTGGGAGAAAATGTATTTCACAAAGACATATTAAAATGTTCTGCAGAAAAGGAGGCCATTTGACCCATTCCCGTTTTTCTAAATTGCCTTTCATCCTATTAATCTAAAATGACTCATTTAGATGCATTGTTGACCACACTGTTCACAAGAGAGGTTTGGATAAGGATCATTCAGCATTTTAGGTCTCATTTTCCCTTATAAATCCTGGCTCGGGAATTGGTTCTTTTGGAGGTACATATGGGCAACCTGATTCTTTGAGTCATTCTCTCTCTTTCCCAGGGAATCATTAACATTTTAGAGAATCCACCTGCTGGGTAATAACCAAGCTCATCAATGTAGTTGTACAAACTTCTCTGGAACAGGAAGACATTAGGTTTCATCAATGACAACAACAATTTGCATTTATATAGCACCCTTCATGCCAGACACTTATCCCTGCACGTCCAATTGGCACTTACGGTTCCNTTTTTTTTCCCCCTGTGTCCTAGGTGCCACTTACAAGTTTCGTGTGATTGCCATTAATGCCCACGGTGAGAGCCCCAGGAGCGCTGGCTCCCGACCTTATCAGGTGGCCGGATTCAGCAGTCGCTTTTCAACACGGCCAATCACAGGTCCTCACATTGCCTACACAGAGGCGATCAGTGCCACAGACATTATGCTGAAATGGACGGTAAGATACGTGCTCCCAGCTAAGCCAAGCTCACACATGTGCTGTTTTGCTCCTTGTTGAGCATAACAAAGGATGGATGAGGGAGATGGGGGATGGGAGCACTTATTAGTTGCAAAACCCTGCATGCTGTGACCTCACACTTCATTCATGCAATCATTAAATACAAAAATTACAATCAGTCCTTTCCTGGCAGAGTAGAAGAGGCTGTGCTCCAACTGACAGAACCTTTATTTACCAGACAAATCTGTTTCATTCTTGGTGGGGTTGATAAGATCACTCAAGATTGGCGGGAGGCACGCAAGGCTACAGACAAATGTTTTCCCCCTTATGTCATGTTTCCCTCCCGCACAGCGCTGATGGATTGATAGTGCAGCCATCAGATTGGCCATTATTTTAATTGTAGCTTGATTATCTTGGAGGCTTTCCAGTGTTGAGTGCATTAACTCTGGAAGGAATGGAATACAATTTAGACAATTAGAAGCTGGAAGTGTAACCAGACCCAGTGTCCGATGTTGAAAGCAAGAAGAGTAAACTTGTGCAGCATTATACTTCTTCTCAGTGTTTCTAACATATATTTTAATTTACATAACATTAATTATTTATAATAATACATTAAGTATTTATAATAATGCCCCTAGCATTTGATAGAATGCTTTTCACATTGAAAGGACGTTTCCAAGTGCTTCCCGGCATTTAATGTAAAATGCTGTCACTGTATGTTTGTTGCCAAACACAGCAGGTAATTTATGCACAGCAGTGTCTCACAAACAGCCATGGGATTGACCATTTTTATCTGGAGAATTTGTTGGCCAGGACACCGGGGGAAACTCCCTTTTATAGTGTAGTACTGTAGGGTCTTTAAAGTCCACCTGAACAAACAGGAGTGACCTTGGTTTAATAAAGGACAATACCTCCCAACAGTGTAGTGCAACCCCAGCACTGTATTGGAATGTCAGCCTCGAGTAGGTGAGTTCACAGTCCTGTCTTGGGGCTTGAGCCTATAAACTTTCTGACTCGTTAGAGTGCTACCAACTGAGCCAGATTGACTCCCTATTTACCTTGTCAAAAATACCTCATAATTTTGTACCCTCTATCAGCCGTCTCTGCTCCAATCGTCTCATAACTGTAGTCCTTCATCCTCGGGATCATTCTTGTAAACCTCCTCTGCACCCCCTCTAAATCCACATCTACTATTTCAGTAACTTCCTCAATGGATTCCGGTAGATTTGTGAGGAATGAACTATTAATTTTAAATGTATGCCTTCCAGATAAGAATCAATAGCATCCTGTATAATGCTTTTGAGCATTTGCTTCACTGTATTCGGCTAAGTGATCTGTAATTTCCAGCTTAATGCCTCATTTCCAGGCTTAGGGTAACATGTTATCTTGAACACTTCAAGAAAAGTAGTAAGGGTAATATTATACATTTAATAAAGGACATCATTCTCAGGTCAAGATGTGAAATTAGCATTTATTTGGACAAAGGATTTTTGGGGGATCAAACACCTGAGGAAACCTATCAGCGTGATCTTGTCTGCCTGGATCAGTTAGTAGTACTCTCACATCTGAGTTAGATGGTTGTGGGTTCAAGCCCCACATCGGGATTTGAACTTGCAGTCTAGGTGGGCACACCAGTACAGTACTGGAGCACTGGGGGAGTGCTGTATTGACGAGATACTGTTCTTCGGATGAGATGTTGAACCAAGTTTCTATTCCCCACATCCCCCAAGATTCAGGCAGTCTAATTTTGAACTCTCAGCTGTTTCCTCATTTAAAAAAAAATTCAACAATTTGATGTAGCGAGACGGTCTGGAAGACCGGTTGCTTTGTACTTTTTGCTGATTTCTCCTTCCGTTTTGTTTGTATCCACAGTATATTCCATCCAGTAACAACAACACTCCCATCCAGGGGTTTTACATCTATTACCGGCCAACTGATAGTGATAATGACAGCGATTACAAGCGAGATGTAGTGGAAGGTACGCAAAGGAAATGGTGACCTACTGTAGCTTTAGTCATATATTTACAGGTTAATGAGACATTTGTCTCCCTATGTGATCGGTTTTAGAATTTTATTGTTCTTGCTCAGTTTGTTACTGAACTCAAGAACTTTTGACTGATGCATTTTGAACATCTATACTGTGGTCCTGTCTAAGCCAAATCAATTAAAGACCATCGATCCAACCGTTGATCTTGTTCCCCGACTGGCTAGTGCCTTTATAGACTGAACCACTCAGGGAAGCTGCTAAAATCACTCCCATTAGCATAAAATACCTGAAACAAATTCTTAGTATTCGTCACATTTATACGTCTCCAATTCCGAGGACAATCCCCGGATGAGGTATTGTGTCCCTGGGGCCAAATTTGCCCTGTCTTGAGTTCAGCAAGAAACTGAGCAAGAACAATACCATTCTAAAACAGACACTCATCAGGACAAATACAGCCACTAATCCAACAAGCTTCTCCAGTAGCTGCTAGCATCTGCAATTGTGGTGAGTTCAGTTTCTTTTATATATGTGTCCCCAGATTTGGTTTACACAATATGGTCACCCTATATTACTGACTGTCACCATCTGCTTATGTTTGAACAAACTCCAGTCAGGATGGCAGTAGAAAAAGAAATTAATCTCCTCTCACAGAGACATAATAATAAGTATACATTCCTGGCCGTTGGTTGCCACTGTCTTTCTGTCCAAACCTGCACAAGTTCCAGTTCTGAAGTTTGCTTTGCTGCTGGAAACAGTTAACTGATGCCTACACATCCCGAGACACAGAAGCAAATAGTCTTGCGTTTTCTAATCAGGCCTAATGATATCCAGATTACATTTTAGAAACTTCAAAAACCTAGACAGGAGGCATTCCTGCTGCACCCTGCCTTGCACAACTGAGCAACTCTTTTTTAAAAAAAAGGAATCTCAAATGTTTTATATTTGTATTTCCCTTTTCCACTCGACTAGATGCCGTCAACATAAAACAACATCACCATTGCAATAAAGATTGTTACAGATGATAAAGACAACTGAGGTTACTCACTCAGAGCAAAGTGTGTCAGTGTGAGAACAGGCCTGACTGATAGAGCAACAGGCGGGAGGGAGGCCTCTGCTCTCTGTTACCATGGTGAACCCTCAGGAGGAATTTCTGCCAGGGACATTGTTCGACAGTTGCTTTCTCTCCCGCACCCCCACCCCAAAAAAAAGTTTAATTAAAGTACACTACAAATCAGTACAATCTTGTTGTCGTCCTCTCTCTCTCTCCCTCCTGCCCCCTCCCCCGCCACCTTCAATAAATTGCTTTCCAAAGAGAAGTGTTTGGGAGGGTTTAGCAGCCTGGGTACAGGCCAGAAAAAATAACACTAATTGGATCGTAGTGACTGCCGTGTTTGGATTGGTGCACTGACCGAAGGCAGAAGCAGTCTGTGGCCGGGAGACAGCAGGAACCCATTCACTTGCTTTCACTTTTCCTCTGGGATCTCCCCCTGAGGAATGCAGCAACAAGCTGTAAGAAGCTTTGCTCAAGTCGTAACAGTGGATTTTGCTATTGTGGTAGGGGGATGGGGGAGAGAGAGAGAGAGAGAGATTTGTATCAGCCTAATCTAGAACTCGATGCTTCTCATTTAATTTCAGTAAAGGTCTGGAAAAAATTCTGCATTTTACAACTGACTGTTTGTATGTCTGCATTGGATTATTGACTGCTAGAAATTTAAACTTGTCATTTTTTTTTAAAAAATCCTCCTGCCTTCATATGGAGGACGAGACACTTAATCTGGAAACGTGAAGCCAACGCCACATGTGCCCAATTCAAGGCACTGCTCCTGTTCAGTTTAGAGAGTCAGATCCTTGCAGTTCATACAGTATTATTGCATTCAGTTTTGAGATCACTATTGGGTTGTCAGAGATAGAATGTGCAGCGCGATTCACTTCCCAGTTCTCTTGCCCTGAACCCTGCTGACTAGTTTCTTTAACCTAGGCAACAAACAATGGCACCAGATCAGTCATCTTCAACCCGAGACCTCGTACGACATCAAGATGCAGTGCTTCAATGAGGGTGGAGAGAGCGAATTCAGCAATGTCATGATCTGTGAGACCAAAGGTAGGAGGAGTTTTACAGATCTTCCAATCAACCCTATCAAACATTCTCAACTCTTACCTCTCTAGTACATAGAGCTCCTGTTACAATGCAAAGGTAGTGTGTTGTCATTTGTGTGACAGTCTGGCTCAGTTGGTAGCACTATCGTCGCTGAGTTAGATGGTTATGAGTTCAGGCATTACATTGGGACTTGGAACTCATATAGTCTAAACTGATATTCAAACGTTCATGCAAATTGGCTGCCTCTCTCATACAAACGAATAGTCCGTGCCCAGTAACTGTTATAAACCACTTTGAGACGTTTCATAGGCATTGAATCAAATACATTGGTTATTAGTATTTATTCTATAAATAGTCTTGAGAAAGCTGAGTTTCCACTTATTCTCTTTTCTTACTCTTATCAGCTCGAAGGCACTCGGGATCTTCTGAAGTGTGGAGAGATGGATTGAGCACCCAGTCCAATCTGGCAGAACCCCCGGGCAATGGTTATGGAGCCTCTCCCTCTAGCACACGCAGCAGCGACATGTTGTACTTGATTGTGGGGTCAGTGCTGGGGATCATGGTCCTCATCCTCATCATCTTTATCGCCATGTGCCTTTGGAAGAACCGCCAGCAGACCACTATGCAGAGTAAGTTGGAACACAAAATGCATACCGATGCACCACACCACTTTACAGGACATCTACAGCTGTGAAGCGCTTTGAGATGTCTCGACTATGTGATAAGGTGCAAATACCAAATGCAAGGATTATTATTGCACATGATTAGATGATTATTTGTGCGGATTAATAGTTTACATCAGCATCAAATCTAATGCTGGGTAGAAGCCCAGGTATTGAGGCCTCCCTTCCCCATGTTCAACCAATATTTTCTCTCACCCCCATTTCAGCTACCCTTTCACCTCCTCCCCTCCCCCCTCCCCATGTTCAGCTAAGCCATTCTTCCCCTCCCCCCATGTTCAGGATCACATATGAAGGATGACCAATTGGATGAGGTGTCAGAATATTTCATGACCTCAAATCATATTGGTATTAAGATGGAGACTTATCATTTAAAAGCATTTATACCTGCGATTATCATGATCTCACACAGTAAGAGTGAAGTTGAGATGTGAGAGGTATCAAAGATGTCCCGTGGCTGTAATCTGTTGCAGGAATGAAGCTCCAGAATGTCACTCTAAATCTGATGCCAGAAGCATCTTGTAGCATTGAATGATGCTGGAAAGTGCTCAGAGGAGCCATTCAACAACCATCAATAACTCTTACCTGCAATTCTCCTGAAGGAAGGTGCTGTTCTGGGTTGAATGGTTGAAGTTCACAGCCAAAAATAGGTTCAGATTCATCCTGAAATAATTTTTTTTTCAGAATACGATCCTCCTAACTACCACTACCAAGGCCAAGAAGTCAATGGCCAGATAATGGAATACACTACACTCCCAGGGACCAGTCGGATCAATGGTAGCATTCACGGCAGCTTTATTGGCAACGGAAACCTCAGCAATGGCTGCCCACATCTACACCATAAAGTATCAAATGGGATGAACGGATTAATGAATGGAGGGACAGGGCTGTACCCCAACCACACTAACTCTCTACCAAGGTCTCACATAGACTACGATCATTCTCATCACATCATGAATGTAAGTAAGAGTCTGAACGTTCTGATGGTATTTTGGCACGGCCTGCCATTGAACATTCAAATCATTCCTGCAGTTTTCAACATAAAGATGTGCGTCAAACAGGATTTACAAAATCTGCACAATGTATTTCTCCCTGGGGAAAAGATGGTGTGAGTGGGGTGGTGGGGGAGAGAGATAAATGGAAGTTGGATGGAGGAGGATGGAGTGGGGGAAGGGAGCAAGAACAAGAATAGGATGGAGGGGCCAGAGGGGAGAAGGCGAATGACATGACGTCTTAAGTCTTCTTAGTTCATTTGCCAGTTCTCGCTGTTTAGTCTGATTTAATAAATAAACAGCTTTTCTGAGGTCAAACGTTTACTTCGAGGCCACAGTACAATAAATGTTCTCATACATCTGGCTGTAGTTTGAACTGACTTCATCTTGTTAACAAACAAAAAGATGATATAAAATTTTAAATAAATTTACAGAACAGTTATTTTGCAGAATATAGGAGCACTTATTTAGACCTTGGGAGGAAAGTTTATTTTAAAGGCAGGATGGAGGGAGTACAGAAAGTAGTTCCAGCCTATTCTTCTCTCTTGTCCCGTCTGCATCACATGTGTACAGCAGTTAGGAACATCAATTAGGAATGCTATTCATATTTCACAAAGATAATAAACTTCTTCTTGCTACCAAATACATTATAATACCACTCCAATGATGCTCATTTTTTGTTATGTGTCGATGTTCTGTCATGTCAGCATTTTGCTTAGTGTCTCGAGCTGTGCCTGTTGATGCCCATTGCTGAACCCTGCCTGTGAATTTTGTATCGACAGGGAGGTGGGATCTACACTGCGCTTCCGCAGACGGAACAATCCGAGTGCATCAACTGCCGTAACTGCAGGAACAACAATAGGTCAGTGTGCAGTTGTGTGGCTCGTTCATAGGGGCTGCTCCTGTTTGAGTTATCTACGTTTACCGTGCTGCTCAATGGGAAAATATCCTTTAAGTAAGAGGACGATGTGGTCTGCCCTAATGACTCAAAAGGGATTTCCTACAGAGTTGTGGTTATGTTATATCTATTATTTGGGCTGACTTCACAGAAGCAGCAGTCTTGTCGTGCTGACGGTTGTACACAACCCTGCTCCGAGGTCCCAGAGCAAAACAAAGCCCCTCTGCCAAATATTTTCTCGTGGAGGTAACCCTGACGCTTTTAAATTATTTAAAATACTCGGCTCGGAACAGATTTGTAATTAATGCCAAATAATCTTGCAAAACACAAAATACTGCAGATACTGAAAAACTGAAAACAAAAACAGAAGCCACTGGGAACACTCAGCAGGTCAGGCAGCATCTATGGAGAAAGGAAAGTGTTTTTGTTTCCAAATGATCTTGCGTTTGCTCAACTGCAACCGAGAGCGTCCGCAAAAATGATCAGTTTTGTGCTGAAAATACAGCCCATTGAAGGATTACATTGTATATTTGTGTCCGATGCTGATGCAATTGGCTGAATTGGCAACTATGGCTTTGCCAGCGAGATTGATTCGGTTCTTTGGAGTTGGCAATGCAGAGACCCCAAATCCCAGTTAGATACCAAGAGAAACTCTATCCTTTGCTGGGTCTGTCCAGGCTGAAATTAAGAATCCGCAGTTACTCGCCAAATTTTTCCGAGATGTTGGAATGCCTGTCTGATTGTTTAGACAAAACTGACTTGCGCGGAACGTGGGTTAAATGATCTTGGCAATCGTTGACTTACATGACAGCTGATCAGCATCTGAATAAGAGATGCAGTTAGATCCAAATTGTCTCTAGTGATTCTTCCATTTGATATAGCGCCTTATAGCATCTCAGAGACGTCTCAAAGTGCTCCTGTACATCGCATCATTTGAGCACAATTGTGTAGGTTGTAGTCTACAAGTTAAATCCTGGTCTTCCCCTTTTAGCAGATGTTTCACCAAAACCAACGGCACGTTTCCGAGCAACAGTTTGCCATTAATGCATCGGGTTCCGTCCTGCCACCAGGACAGCATGGAGATGGTGTCCCTCAGTCACACCCTGGCTCCGATGTGTTCCGACTCCGTCCCTGAAGATACTAAAGAAGAAGATTGTGACCATCCAAACAAAAATACAGAGCAGTCTCTTTCACAACATTCCTGCTGCCAGGACCATGTGGACCATTTGTGCCTGGACAATACGGAAGGTAATAATAATCCTCGCATTTGATGTCGCGTCTCATCACGTCTTCGAGATGTCTCAAAAGCGCTTCACAGAATACATTGTAAAGTGAATTGACTGTGTATTTTGTGGATGATAATCATTAATGCTCTTTGGTTCACTTTCTTTACCACAATGAATTTATTTACATGATTTATTTTTGTTTAAACCCAAATTGTACATTTTTCTAGCTTCATTCTTCAATCAGGGTATCACCGAAACATGAATTCCCCATCAGTCTTGAACAGTTTGGTTAAATGTCAAAAGGGTCACATCCTCCCCACAACTGATCTCACATGATGTGCTTGTTAATAGACATGATCAATGCCAGTAATGCCTGTACTCAAACGTCATTCCTCGAACTCAGAAGAATGAATTGTTTGAGGTCTTTAAAATAATGAAGAAAATTGACAAGTTAGATAGGCAACTCTTCCCTCTGGTAGAAAGGAGACATAATCATAAAATTAGAGCTAAACAAGTTAGAAATGGTGAGAAATAAAATAACACACAAATGGGTGTGATTCTTTTGGGGGTGGGGGGGTCAACAACAAATTACATTTCTATAGCGCTCTTCACGCAGGGTAGGGTCTCGGACTTCCGCGTGGTAAACTTGTTCTTCAGATAATTCTCAAATAAGAGTTGTTTGTGGGAGGTTAATGGAAGGTACAAGTAAAATACAGGAAATTGGAATTAGGGTAAATTGCCTCATTGGAGGAGCAAACACTAATACAATGGGTCGGTCGAATTAGCTTCCTACTGTGTTGGTAATTTGTATGGTTCTTAATCTTACCTTCTAATTGTTATAATCTTGACTTCAATAGTCACTTGTCTAAACTCTCTGCACAGAAACGTTTCTTCTAATTTCCCACTTAACTCTCCTAATCCTGAGCCCCGTTGGTGCCAATTCATCCACCACCGGGAATAACAGGGAAAAATGGCCACTTATCCGAAGTTCCAGAACACCTCATTACCCAGCATGAGTGAACCGATTCATCAAGAGGATAAATGCTGTTTCCAAGTAATAGTTGTCAATGGTAACATAGATCTATTTTCGAAATGCTCATCTTTTGTTAAATCTTCTGTTTCCTCGCAGGTAAAGAATATCCTGAATTGGAGACTGAGAACCAGGCGCTGAGCTGTGTTCCTTCCTCTCTCGTTGCTGCTCCAATAGACTGTTATAGTGTAACAGCTGAGAGTCCAACACAACCCACTGAGGACAACCCTTCTAATAATCCATCACACGCAGAACTACAGGAAGCCTAAAGAGTCGATTCCTGTTTATCTGAAGCCAGTAATTGTCGCTGAGAGGACCAAGGAGGGAAATCAGAAATCGATACTATTTATTTTTCTGTAGTACTAAAATATTATTCCATATGAATGTATCTGGTTTAAAGATTTCGTTGCTTTTTAATTATTTATGCCTTCAGATGAGAAATTCCTTCTCTGCAGAACTTGAAGTTTTAGCCTTGTTTTGTATAAAGTCTTGTAATAATATAAAAAGAGGAAGCTATAGAAAGTGTTAATAATGAACCACGACAATTGTGGTGGAATGGAATGAGGAGCACTTCAAATAATGGACTTTATGAGACTTGATACACCGCATGAAAGCACAGAACCTAATGCCAAGGTTGACTCGAACAGTAGATAATGGAAGTGGAGGATGGAGTCATAACTAACATGATGTGTGACACATCAACACAGTTATTAAACACTAAACATGGTATTGATGCCTTTGGTAGTAAGACTGAGCTAAGGAGCTGATGAACTGTCTTGTTCAATGCAGCCCTGCACTCTAGCAAGTGGCTGACTCGATTCACATTGATCATTGCAGTTCAGGTTTCTGTCCCACCACCTCATTCACCTCTATTGTAGGGCATATCTTCCCACCCCCAACCCGTCACATTATTCTGTGGAGTTGCTAGGGGTTGTGTATGGATACTTGGCTTTTTGATCCCTCCACAAACAATGGCACTCTGAGCATTTGGCGGTTCAGTTAAAGCAAGCACATGTGGCTGATGGATTTTTTTTCTTTAACAAACGTGAGCACGGTACTGTATTTCCACACGATGCTTTACCTTGTGCCTGTTAGCAGCAGCTCAAGAAACTAGGGCAAAAGGCAATTCCCCCAGCACATAAGTATGTGGCTCATTGGAACAGTAATGTTCACTGTCACTCGTGCTAAATGTGCAGCCTGGATGTTATCCATCTAAACCTGAGAATCCTTTTTTGCGCATATAATCTGGCTAATGGGTTGACGAAACCAAGCAGCTCGATTTTGTTTCCAAGTGGATAAGTCTTTGAGGTCCAAGTCAGTGGAGTTGAGGAGCTGACCACCCACAGCCCCACGTCTTGTCTTAATTCACGGACAAATGAGGCAAGCTGCTGTTCCATGTGCAACAGCTAAACAAGTCAATGTTGCGGTAATGCTTCATGTAATAGGACTGAGGACAGCTACGTAAGAGGTGCGGTGTCGCTGCACGTTTTGGATGCGGTTACAGTTGCTATTAATGTCATAACATGTTTGAGAGAGGCAAAAATGTGGCTTCATTACACTACGCAAAAATTGTTTGAACACTTCAGCCATATTAATATATTGCAGGTTGGGTCGTCTGGATTTGTGGAGCCGGTGTCGTTGTGGTAAATTATATTTTTGTGGATTGAATGCATTGCATCGGCTTCAGATACCTTGAGTCACAGACTGTGTGCCTTTCGAGCGTATTCTGATCAATGCATAGAGCCGTAAAATGGCTCGCAGCACACACTGCCGTTTTTGTGACTGGTTTTGATTCATCAGTAAGTTTTCACTGTTGGTTATGCTGGAGAAAAGGGGCAACTTTCCATCCCCGTCCCCCCAGGCGGGGCTAACTCATTGCGAAATGCTTCTTTGCCGTCCCGAAGAGGTTGTGAAACTCGCTTATTGAGGGCGTTTCGAGTTGACATCAAGACTTGACGATTCCAACTTGTAACCCTCTGTCCAGGTGCAATATTTCAGCTACGTTTAGTCGGATCATTTGTAAAGTTAAAATCGTAAAACTTCCGAAACCCTGTCTCAAAAGTAACCCATCTTGAGAGAGGATCACTGTGACCGTGGGGCATCGGACCTTCTTAATCTGTTTTGAAAGCAACTCCTCAAATAGATTTTGGATAATCACAAACCAGTTTGCACTGAACTGCTCACATTTCATAAATGACAGTAAGAACTCAGTCAATTTCAGCTCTTCAAAATCCGACCGTTGTAAATTCCCTTTTGAAAAGGAAGTAAAAATTAACCATTTCTGTTTTTAACGAAAAACAGAAATATTATGGCCTTTTTCCCCCATGTGTGATACTTGGGGTAATATTCAACACTACACAGCACACACTAATCTCCAAAAGCCATAACTGGGTCGTGTTTGGAAACCATTTATACGACTTTAAAGGTGCAATTGGCAAATGTATTCAGTTTTTCACTTGAAACCTACATCCAACTGTTGAAAAGGGTCCTGAGAGATGGACACCAAATCCTGTTACTCCAGTATTGGTTAGAGAGCTTCAAGTAGTTGCTCCAGCTGTGAATCTTCATGTACCACCAATGTGTATCGTCTCATTTCAATCCTTTTGTCAGTAATGGCTCGTTCACAAGAATTTCAAACTGCCTNAAAAAAGAATTTCTATATTTTGGTGTTTTTTTTTAATGACCTGTCGTCGCTCTATATGGAAATGCAAAGTAGCATTGCCTTTCAAAAATGCATGTTTTTGTACTATATAGAAAATATGCTATATTTTCATAAAAGGTTGTAATATTCTTGTTGAAATTGTACATACTTTTAATATGGTAGGTCCGCGAGATGCTATGTGTTTGTAAGATAATGTTAATATTAAAGTTGATGCTGCTGCCTGCAGCAGTGATCGGTACTGCCTCGGTGCCACGCAGCACTCTGAACTTCTCATTCTGTATTTATTGTGTCCGCTTGTCTCTCTCGCTCTCCGGCCCCGCCAGCGCTTCAACAGCAACAACAACTTGGGTTTATATAGTGCCCTCCACGCCGGACGGCATCTCAGAGCACTTAAAGATACCCCCAACGTCCCTGCGACTGCCTCCCACTCCCCTTCAGGTCATTTTGTTTGGGTTATACTTACTATTTGGTATAATTGCATGTACCCTAGAATTAATGTAATTCCTCACCGAGCAAGAGTTTCAAGTGAACATTATTAGGAGGAAACCCATGAAGACTGAAATCTGAAACAATCCACGTAGCTGCTCCTGTTACTGTGACTGATTCCAGATGTATTTCCATTCCATGTCCAGGATTATCACTCTACAGTATTTAATAGCGCAGCAATTGTGTTGTCTTCTTACTCGTCAATAACAACGTCGCTTGTGATTTCCAATTAATTTTATTCTGTGAAACACTTGAGAGATGTCTATTTGAAGTGAAATCATCTGATGATCACACTGACTCACATTCACACTGACTCGCACTCATTGACGCACTTAAAACACTCACACGCTCAAATATTCCCTCGCAAAATGCAGTACAGATTAAATTACATTTGTTCAGGGCCTTTCACGTCGGGAGGATGTCCCAACAGAATATTTACTCGTTCGTTCGTTCGTTCGCTTGCTCTTCAGAAAATGTTTCGGGAAGTCTGCAAACTCGATTCGGAGCACCAACACGGACGTTAGGGACTGTCCTATCATTAATGTGTGTGCGGGGTGGGGGGCGGGGGGTGGGGGGGCAACGCCAACACTTCAGTGCCATCCTCACTGTTCTTGTGGAGAGAAGATTGCAGGGGAAGAGGCAAGAGAAAGGAACAGAAATGAACACGAGCAGTCATCTGTTAAATAGAGCTGCTTTTAGCGGCGCAGCTCATTGGCCTGAGAATGCTTTGAGTTCGCATTCCCTGTTAACAATGAGCGGCATTGTGATCGGATGTGGGCCCCGTTCCTGGCTTGTCCCCGTTTGCTAAGGAATTCTAGGTTGCTGTCAACTGCTGTTAACATCTCGTGCTATGTGATAAAACGCAGTTATTAGTTAATAAGCGGATCATTGTGAACAAACAAGCTCTTCGCTGGAGACTGAGCCGCTATTATTCTCCATTCTGGGCTTTGATTTGAGATCCTCACTGTGATAATATGCTTTTAAATGGTTTTCATTGCCCAGCTGCAAATCCTTTTCTATGTCGCCGAACATGCTATAAACTCCACGGAGGCAGTTCCGGGCGTAAAATCAAACCGACTTGAATGTTTTCGGTAAAGAAAATAAAGGAATCCCTCGCGTACAGGACCGACTCGGGTAAAAACTGGAAAGAAGTGTACGTGCTTTAAGCGCACAATGTTTCAGGCAAATTTTACTCAATGTCCTTTTCTTTTTCTCTCTCCTCCTTTTGAAAGCAAAGCTTGTCCTCCGGCTCCTCTCCTGAGTGACCTCCCTCACGTCTAAGGATCAAGAACGAGCTCCCGATTCCCATCTTCAACTGGAATCGGCACACGCACATATACACACACACACCACACATACACCACACCAACACATGTACACCACACATACACACACACCACACATATACACACCATACAAACACACACACGTACACCACACATACACACACCACTCACGTACACCTTCCAACAGCTCAGTCACAACAACAACTTGTATATATAGATATCTGGAGGTGCCGCTGTCTATTGGTTGTCCGTTGAAGGGCTGCAAAGGGGAGAGGACATGAGGGGCTGATCTGGGATGTACAGGTAGATCAGAAGAGGAGAGCAGCTTCACATTGTTGGTGTTGAGTATCTTCCCAAACGTATATCCACCACTAACCTCCCAGAGCTTCCTTTCTGTCTGTAAATTCGTGTTGCTCTTTCATTCGTTTTTCAAAAAAGATTAAATAATAATAGGGAATGAGGGCCTTGATGTCTCTCTGGTTTTATTATACTGACTTTATTATTCAATTTTTTTTTGAATGAAAGAACCACAAGAATTTACAGACAGAAAGGAAGCACAATTCCCTCTCTCCCACCACGTGTCACTGAGCCTCCTGTACAGGCGCTGGCATTACAGGGACAAAAAAATACACTTCAAAAATAAATCATAATAATTATGCATTTGATACAGCGCCTCATCACGTCGTTGAGACGTCTCAAAGCGCTTCACGGAATATACCGTAAAGTGAATTGACTGTGTATTTTGTGGGCGACAGAATGGCAACGGGCAATTTCAGGACAGGTGTCAGAGTTTTTGTTTCTTTACTCAGAGGATAATTAACGAACGGAAGAGGTGGTCGGGAGAGGTGGTGGAGGGCTTGGACGCCGGGACTCAGAAAATACCTGGACGCTGTGGCCGTGCGGTGCTCTTGGAGGGAAGAAATCAGAGAGGCAAAGAGGGCTTTCTTCTTCCTCCGAAAAAAAAGTGCTGTGATCTTGTGGAAACACTGTCGAGCGACAGATTCACCAGCGTGCGCAGAACGTACAGTCAGCCGCTCGCCTCACAGTGGCAGCAACTATCGCAGGTCGATGAGAGTGCTGTGATTTAAGTTGTGCTTTGCGCTCACCGTTTCAATGGGCTTCTCAAGAAACCTGAGCGCGTCTGTAGGATTCCGGTTACTATTGGAACAACAGTACCCTCTGGTGTTTAAGTACCCGAAGAGCGGTCCCTATAATGCCGGGCGTCTAAAATGAGCTGCAAAAGCACTTTATTTGCAGTAACAGGCTATCGGCGAAAGAACCTCCAGCAGAAATGATTTCTCGTCAAGAGTTAAAACGATTAAAAAAAAATAAATCCTCGCGATCGGTCTGGCACCTTTCACGTCAGGAGGACGTCTCAGGGTTCTCCGTAAATTTTGAATGAAACCGAATGGTTTCGATACAGAATGAATGCACTGTAACACCCAAACAATCAGAAAGTAAAAATAGTGAGAATTATCGGAGATCGGAGGAATCCGTTCAGGGCTTTATTCTGGCGATGGAGTGATAGTGTAACTTGTGGAAGCGGAGATCTGTGAGGCTGTTCAGGAATGATATTTCAGCGCTTATATCGACAGTAAGTGGTCAAAAGTGTTCTCCGAGTCCCTGCCTTTGTCCCGCAGTTCTTTTCAGAAAATTCTTCTTTTCAGAATTGCTACGTGGCGTTTCCTAATTTAGGATCGTTTTGCGTTTCATTCCTGAAAACTCGGCCGATTTATAGCCCAGAGAGGGATTTTCCAGGTGTGGAAAGAGCTGCCTGAAGCAAACAAGGGAGGGGGAGCGGAGGCTGGTCAACCCCAGTGACTGTGTCGGGCTGACGCGCTACGTAGGGCACATTAGCATTACACTGTGCGACTGGATGTAATAATAACAATCCTTACCATTGATACAGCGCCTTATCACGTCTTCAAGACGTCTCGAAGCGCTTCACAGGATATACTGCAAAACAGTGACTGCGTATCATGCATCAAGTTACATCGTTCAATGTTTATTTTGTTCATCTGCGCTAATAAGTGTTACCATAAACAATTCAATCATTGACAATCATGCATCCAAATACTTTAGAATAGATATTGAATATAGATATTTCCCATAATCAACAGTAATCGGTCTCGTTATAAACCGTATCCTTCACAAATTATCCCTCTCTCACCTTCCGACCTCTCTTTGTTGGAACCGACCTTGAGTTTCTCCATTTGTGGAGTCCTGTAGCTCAGTGGTTAGAACACTCGCTTTGCAAGTGAGAGACCCGAGTTCAATTCCAGGCAGAGGGCGAAACCTTGGGCAAGTTTCCTTACTCCACACAGAGCCTAATAATAATCCCTCCAAAACCCAAAACAATAATAAATTGGTCATTTTCAATCCACGACTATTTGTGGGACATTGCTGTGCGCAATTGGCTGCCGCGTTCGCCCACAAATATACAGTCAATTCACTTTACAGTATATTCTGTGAAGCGCTTTGGGACGTCCTCCCGACGTGAAAAACGCTATATCAAATGCGAGGATTATTATTAGTATTATTTAATCAATACGAGTGCAGTTGCTCCACACATTCGCACATTCTACCTTCCAAAATACCCACCCAAGTGTCTTCTAATTAGAGCGTCAAGCTATGACTTATCTCCCTACAAAAGACAGGTTTTAATCCTGTGAGTGACGACACAGGCCATCGATCATGTGTGAGTGATCCGGGCTGGTTCCTGCTTTCATCGCTTCCCTTCTTCTGAAGTTGGGATCGGAACGATATCCGTCAATTTTCGGTCTTTGATTGAGTCGTGAACCTGACCTAAAGCAGCGGAGCCAACGGAGAGAACTTTTGACAAGCTTCTGCTTCCAGTTTTCAGTCGGAAGTCTTACGTTTTAAGTTTTAAATTTTACGTTTTAAGTGTGAACGTAAATGCAAAATAATAATAATAACAATAATCTGGTCACTCACTCCACGACTTGTTTGTGGGACACGGCAATCGGCCGCCGTGTTTCACCCACAAAATATACAGTCAATTCAGTTCACAGTCTATTCTGTGGAGCGCTTTGAGACGTCTCGAAGATATAATGAGGCGTCAATCAAATGCGAGGATTATTATTATCATTATTAATATTATTTTCTGATCTCCCACCATAGCTGAAATGTTAAGGTAACGGTGCGATGAATCTGATCTGAGAGGCTGCGGAGATTTTTTTTTTTTTTGCTAATGGCGTTTTCCTTTGAGGAATGTCTTCAATCCGCTTCTTTCCTTCGGATGTTCCGGCTCTCTCTTGACGAAGGCATTGTTTCCGCGCTTCAGTCTCAGCAGGTCTCGCAGGTGTATCACATAGCATTGCGTGAGCTTCACCAACAGAAGAAACTGCTGCTTCGTATCAAAAAACTGGAAACAATTAAAACAGTTTTAAACGTAAAGCAAACCGTACGCTCACGAGGAATGCGCGTTCGCGATATTAATTGATTGATTCATTATCTTCTAAATTGCCGCACGGCTTCAGAACCGGGAGCTGGGCTCTGAACGTGAGGTAAAGCGGGGTGTCTTTGGGGCTGAACTCTTTCCGAGGTGACGTTCCTGGCAATTGGAAAACCCCCAACGTCGCTTCCCGAGCCAGGCGGGTCTGCAGGTCTCGAAGGAACGAGAAACACTTATCTGACGGACACTTCGAGAAAGCCGCAAAGACACTCGAGAGGCCCCAAATTCCTGAGAACGGTTTCGCGACAAGACTGGATCGAAGAATTTTCCGATAAGACGCACAATCACAAATGTTAAGCTATAATGGTCTTAACACTAACCCTCGGGAGGATTTCAGGCCTCACCCTCTTGTCCAGTCAGGGTGCTATTCGGAGGTTGGTGTTGAGGGAAATTAAGAGGATGATTCTCCATCTCACCCGCCCGCACCTGATGTGGGACTTGACTATCCTCATCGTGAGGAGCGTCCAAAGGATTCACCTCATAGCACAGATTTCAAAATAAACGCTAATGAGCCATAAAACGTAGAACCTGGATACCTCTCGCTGGAACGAGTCCAAGATGCCGGCTTGCTGTGGGATCTCACCAGGAGTACCTCCATCCGGTTTAATCTTCAGATGAAAGGTCACAGCTTGGGCCTGGATTTCCTACAATAATATTAATAAATAATAACGATAAATAAATGCTAATAATGATAATAACAATACTACTACTACTAATAATAATAAATCACAAAACCCTTCAGTTGATAAAGCATCTGTATTGTCAAACATCTCAAAACACTTTACAGATAATTACTGTTAGCACAGGGATGTTTGCAGACTAACACAACCAACCAATTTGCAGCCATGACTGATTTACTTGGCCTTTTTTGGAACGAATAATAAAAGCATCAAATAACGAGCAAATAGTGAATGCATATGAAGGTAAAAATCACTGACAAGACTTTGGGGTGTCCAACCTGGACACAATACTCTCTAAGCCCAGTCTGGCTCCCCAATCCACCAAATCGGTTCACACTGATAACTCCACTTGAGCACCAAGAAAAGCAACGGAAACAACTATGACGTTAATTTGTTAGTGGGCGGCTCATGGGCCGTATGGCCTCCTTCCGCGCTGTAAGATTCTTTGACTCTTCACACGAGGCACAGTCCGCAAGGACTTCAAGAGCAAAGAACGACAGGTGACCTTATTTATCATTTACCTTCGAGATTCGAGTGCATTCGTTCAGAGTCTGCAAGCAGTCGTTAAACCGGGGAAGTTTCTCTTCAATTTCTCGTGCAATTCTCTAAATGAAACAAAAGTGGTGAGAAAGATTTCTCTCCTGATTGGGCCTTAAAGTATTCAGGGCCCAACTTGTGATAGTCATTGCGCTCACAGCCAAACCTGTGAAGTGTTTCGAAGCGTTTCGTTGATAGGGTAAAGTGTGTACGAAACCTGTCCTGTTCGCCTCGCGCTGCACTCAAACATTCACAGCGGTGTTTATGTGTTTGGAGAGGTCCAATCGCTGTGGTCTGGGATAGTTGCCAAAGGGAGTGGAGTGGAGAGGAACAATACTGATGCTCAGTGCTGGAGGGCAGAGCTATACGAGCAACAACTAAATAAGACGCAGCCTAATTATCCTCAACAGAGGAGATCTTGTACAACAACAGCAAATGACACTTTCACTGCGCCTTTCAGGTCTGGAGGACGTCCCTAAGGCGTTGGACAGTCAGGGATTTGGACCCGAGCGGGGGATTGGGATCAAGAGGGGCGAAACGCGGCGGCCGATTGCGCACAGCAGCGTCCCCCACAAACAGCCGTGGATTGAGTGACCGATTTGTTATTATTATTATTTTTGTAGGTATATCTGAGTTGCCACAGAAACCATCTGCACCTTCTGGTGACCGAGGCTCTTCACAATCAGGAAGTCGCTGTCGCAGTCCATGGAATGAATCCACTCCTGAAACTGGTAGGTGCTGGTGACCCAACTGCGCAGCGGACGGTAGCCCATCCGATAGCTTTCCAAATAATCCGAGAAGGTCTTCAACAGCTGGAGCCTGAAATCGAATCAAAGTAAAAGGCAGCACGCTGGAGAGGCCGGCAAAACTGAAGCGAGGACGGAAGTCGCTGCCAGCGCTCAGCAGGTCAGGCAGCGTCTGCGGAGAGAGGGAGAGAGAGAGAGAGAGAGAGAGAGAGAGAGAAAGAGAGGAAAAATGGGCTCGCGTTTTTCCGGGTCGATGACCTGTCGTCAGAACCGGTTGACTCACGTCCTGAAACGTTCACTCGCTTTCCTCTCTCTCTCTTCCCCTCCCTCCTTTCTCTCTCTCTCTCTCTCTCTCTCTCTCCGTAGATGCTGCCTGACCTGCTGAGTGTTCCCAGCGGCTTCTGTTTTTATTTCAAGCTCTCCGAGACACCGTCCAGCTTGAAGGGCGCTTATATAAATGCGAGCTGCTATTGTTGTTGTTTCCATCTTTCCCCTTATTTCCCTGTGTTATTTACGTCGCCCCCTCTCTCAATGACTCCTCACCTTTCTTCCACGTAGGTCCTCATGGGCTGAAGTCTGTTTCTTAGCAGTTGAATCTTCTGGGCGTGTCTCCCGGCCGTAGGTTCTTTCTCCATCGTTGTGTCTTTCTGTACCGCAGCATCCCCCTCGCTCGCTGGCGAATGGGGGGCGCTCTTGGTGTCAGGCACGAGCTCACGCGTTTGAGTCACTTTGACTGGCAGGTCCTCGCCCCCAAGTCGTAGCAGCACATTATCCACTTGGTTCAGATCCCTCCATAGCGTCTGTAACATACCAGGCGTACGTAAGTGAGAAGCTTTACTCTCTATTTCCCAACACATCGGAAAAAAGAAGTCCTCAAACCCAAATATCTTCATTCTGATGGTTGGTCGGTGAATGTCTTGGCTAAATCAGTCCAATCTTTCACCCGCAAATTACACAGTCCATCGGTTTGACGGTATATCCTGTGCAGCGCTGTGAGACGTCGCAACAAAGTGATGGGGCGCTCTATCAAATGCAACAATTATTATTGTTGAGAACTGTCTAAAATCACTTCAAATCAAAGAGAATCGATGAACGACATTTACTGACCCGGATGCTTAGGATGTGTCCAGACAATAATAACATAATAATAATAATAATAACCTTTGCATTTGATATAGCGCTTTTTCACGTTTTCGAGACGTCTCAAAGCGCTTCACAGCGTATACTGTAAAGTGAATTGACTGAATATTTTGTGGGCGAAATACGATGGCAGAATACCAGGGAAAAAGGTTATCCCAATCACAGCGTTCCCCTCAGAGAGAGTACATGAGCCGACAACTTACGTCGCATTTCTTCCTACACAAGTCAACATTCTGCTGATGAAAATCATCCATACACAGGTCAGCCTCCAGCAGCCTCACCCTCTGGGCAGCTGATAAAACATTGTGGACAGTAGCTGGTGCTGTGGACACGGCAAGAGAACATCTGCAGTGAAGGTGGAAGATTGTTAGAATCAACTCCAAATAAATAATCATAATTGTAATGATCATTTCACTTGATACAGCGCCTTATTCAGGTCTTCTGGACGTCTCAAAGCGCTTGATAGAATTTACCGTGAAGGGAATCGACTGTGTATTTTATGGGCGGAACGTGGCAGCCGATTGCACACAGCGGCGTCACCCGCAAACAGTCGTGGATTGATGAAATTTAGACCAGAAGAAAAATTCACACGAACACACACACACACACACATATATATATATATATATATAAAATCTTGGATCGATTTTCTCTATACACTTCAGTGAGAAACTAATAAACTAAAAGACTCTGCAAATATTTCTCCAGCAACAAATGTTTTCTTTCGATTTTATTTTTTTTCCCTCTTGCTTTGTAGAAAATAAGTCAGAATGAACAGCCAACGACAAAAGGTGAGGTTTACGCACACTGGGAGTGGGAAGGCTTAGGAGTTACGTACAATGGATGAGGCGTATAACCACCTTCGGTGCGAAACTGAGCGCAGGAATGTGCACTTCAGCCAACGAACGCTTCACACAAATAGTCGCCTCCTCGCATTCTCATCAACTAACTCACACACAGGGAGGAACCTGTCAGCTGCACCTGTTAAAAGCCTAATTGCAAAATGCAGGCCAGGCTTTTGTAAAGGTACCTTTTCTACATTTCTTCCCAAAATACACCATTGAGGCAAACCCCACCCTCACCGCATCACTTTCTGACGTGCACGAGCCGCGCCCGCAGACGGTCAAACAGCCGCAAACCGGGGCAATTGATCTAATTTCCTCCCCGAGAGTGACGCCTTCAAAACACGGGTGAAATTGTGATCGGGGACGTGGTGATCAGCCCCGTTCCGAAATAATAATAATAATAATAATAATAAAATAATAATAATCCTTGCATTCGATATAGCGCCTCATCACATCCTCAATGCGCGTAAAGTTTTTTTATGTACAGGTTCGGTACTTACTCTTCTTCCGCCTTCACGAGGCAGTTGTCACCGTAGCTCCTTCCTAATCCTAAACTGCGCTTCTGCGTGAAAAAACACACGGGGGTCTTACTAAAACACAAGCAATTTCTCCTCGACTCAACCCGCCGCCGCCGCCGACAACTTGCATTTACACCGCGCCCTTCACGCGGGGTAGCGTCCCAGAGCGCCCGTGAGCGGCGGAGCGCGCGGCCGAAGGCGGGGAAGGAAGGGACAAGGCAGAGGGATAGAGGAAGAGTGTTCCAGAGTTTCGGGGTGAAAGTGGCTTGAAAGTGCGGCCACAGATGGTGGAACGGACGGGCACGAGGCTGACCCTGAAGCCGACCTTAAGCTGCACGACGGAACCACAGGTGACGGTACCTGTGGTCTCAGCCTTTCAACACTATTGGTCTTACGATTTAAGACGGCGTCAGATTTTTAAAACAAATTCTTAAACCCCAGTTTTAATTCGGGAGCCAGTGTCACGTGGTGCGTTTCGCCCACAGGATACACAATATATCCCGTGAAGTGCTTTAACGATCCTTGTATTTGATGCAGCATCTCAACGACCTGATAAGGCGCTAAATCAAAATGCCAGGATTATCATTAAAACGAGTGTGAAAAAAGACGGCCCCCGCGTTCTTGCAGAATTTAAGAATATTCCAAAATTCTCACAGTAACTGGAACAACATAAATGTAACTTTGAGATGGCAAAAATTACGACATTTAGACGACCCAATGTATTTCATAAGTTGTTAGAGTATTTTGCATTGCCCCAGCTCGTCTAATCGTTGCTTATAGCTCCAGTAATAATAATAATAATAATAATACTGTCAGTCTGCTTTACATTACAAAGTAATATTCTTTCAGATAAGTCATAAAACATTGGATGCTGAGCAGGAGAAAGTGGGGGGAAAAGAGGGACTGAATAGATGCAGTTGAAGAAGTAGGTTTTAAGACAGGACTTTAAACAATTCTCAGAATTTAACTCGCGTTACACGTCATTCAGAGAGCGATGTGAAGCTGCGAGTCGCGTCCGACCGAGCTACAGCAGAAAAATAGCTTTAAAAACGCAACGCTTCCAACTTACTCTGGCTGAAAGACGCACGTTAATGTTCGATGGCAACCGGCTGACTTCTTAACGGTTAACAAATAAAGTGACTTTACCTTCTGCAGCGCCCCTGCCTTGTCGAGCCAGTGGAAGAAAGGGAAGCTCTCGAGAACATCGAAGTAGGTTAGGAGGCTGATGACTGACAACAGACTGACAGTGAAGGCAGGCATACAGAAATCAGCTAAGCCGACTAAGACATTTTGTTGGGCGGCAATAGGAACCAACTGCTCCGCGGTGAGTAGATTGGAAGCATTCATCGTCACCTGAAACTACTTGCACCACAGACTGATGGGTTAACACTAAGAAGCCAATCAGTCAAACCTCAACTCTATCTCCTTTGTGGTTTATCTTCAAACGGTCATCGTAATTTTTGCTTGTACCCACATTCTTTTTTATCTTTCTTTCTTGGTCAAAGTCTGCATCTCACTCTATCCATCGTTAGCTCTCACTGATTTCCGCAGACGAACTCATTCTCTCTTCCTCCGCCTCTCCCGGCCTCGATCATTCCGTCTCGGTGTCTTCCCTCTCCCCCTCTTGAGCCGCTCTGTCCTTTTTTTCTCCAAACTGCATTGATTTTTCTGGCGCAGCGACGTTTAAGTTCCTGTCCTGTCGGTTTCCTGTTGAGATCGTGCCCACATTCCGACCTCGTGAATTCAGAGATCATCTCTCTGGCATGAAGTGGCTGAGCCGGTCGGGCAGGTTTTCTTTTTTTTCCGAAGCGCGGAACACGAGCCTTCACAGGATTAGCTCCAGTCCATCTCTTCCCTCCAGAATACCCGCCCTGCTCAGCGCAAAGATTTAAGTTATTTTAAAACGAGTCATGTTCTGACCTCAACCCACTCTCACCTGACAAGCTGCTCCGGTCATTAATTACCCTCTGGGAAATTTCCCTCTGCAGCTCTTAAGTAAATCTTGTTCCGAAGAAGCTTTGTTCTGGGTTTACTTTTTCAATCCCATTTAGAGGTTCACACACCTCTGTCAGGTCCCCCCGCAAGAGGACTTCTCTCAAGACCCAAAAGCCCCAGTTTGTTGTTAGCTCATTCCCCTTAACACTGGGGATCAAACCTCGTGGCCCTCGTCTGCGCCGTCTGTTTTGCCCGGGAAGCCCCCGTATAATAATAATAATAATAATACTCCTTGGATTTGATACAGTCTTCGAGACGTCTCAAAGCGCTTCACAGGATACACCGTGAAGTGAATTGACTGTATGTTCTGTGGGTGCAATGTGTTGTACCGGTCAGCACTCTGTGTAATGCTCTGCGCGTGGAGCAATGATAAGATTACTGTGCAGTGTGGTTCTGGGTTTACTTTTTCAATCCCATTTAGAGGGAACATCGCAACCGGAGATCAACGCTCAACTCATTTAGCAATAAGACTCGACATCGTTTTTGACGTGTTTGTTGCCTCACACTGTTTGACGTGGTCGGGGCGATGCCTTCTTGAGGTCGGGCCGGTAAAAATGTGAGGTGGAGTGACCTTTTGTTTTGACAAAAAAAGGTAAAACTCTGTATCTTGTTTAAGGAGTGTGGGTAACAAACCCGTACGCATTCCAATGTGGTGAATTCAGAGGTTTCAGTTACATCAATTTTTTTCAGGCCAACTGTGCGCCCGAAACACGCAGAAAACCTCTTCGAGCATAAAGAGGGTCCAAAACCGACTGAGGTTCCATAATAATGCCATCGACACGTGGAAATCCCTGTGTCTGGAATGCAGATACTCTCTCTCCCCGAGGTGCCGATTGGCAAGTTGGGGGGGTAATCCCAGTTTTATAATATATAATAATAATCATTGCGTTGGATACAGCGCCTTAACACGTCCTCGGGACGTCGCAAAGCACTTCACGGAATGTTTTGTGAAGCGGATCGACTGTGTATCCCGCACACAGCGTTGCCCCGCGAAACAGCGTGGATTGAGCCATCCAATTGATTTCGTTTTGGGTGAAGGACTTAATAAATCTGGAAAGCGATCCACAAATCGACTGACAACCGGGTTCTTACCTACTGTACGTGGAGTAAGGAAACCTGCCTAAGGCTTTGCCTCACCCGGGTCGAACCCCAGGTCCTCGCGCTTGCGAGGCGAGTGCTCCAACCAACACGTTACCGGACTCCACAATAATATCCGACACAGACGAAGCGAACAACCTATTTTATCTGAAAGACCGATGGTCAGCATTACGTGGAAGCGTCAGCCGCACAACCTTCTGACCCGAAGGCAAGTGGCGCTACTCTAACTGCGCCCACACTTTGTACGAGATTAATGAAAGAAAACTATCGTCTATTCAAAAGGTGACTTTTATTTTTTTTAATCTTTCAAACAAGTCGTTACGTTAAATAAGCAATGACTTCTCTCCCCCCGAAACACCCAGCCCGAGGCTCCGAGCACAGTCGGCAAAACATCTAAACAGAAATAAATGACAAATCTATGTGAAATCTATGGAACGCTATGTGAATGCTAAAAAAAAGAAAATAACCAGTTTCGTTGGCAGTTGCAGGTTAGGTGTAGCTGTGTGGTTCGTGGACGTTTCGAGCCCACGTTCCCGTCGTCGTGTAGGTATGCAGTTTGGTTTGCGAAATGCGTTGGAAGTGTCAGTCAGTTCCCTGCACAGCAGTCGGGCGGTTCCACGCAAATACACCTGTAACGCATTACCTCCAACACGCAACGAAGCGCAAGCGGAGTCTGTAACGGGCACAGAAAAGGCTTCGCCCTTTTGGTAAATAATGAATTGTTCATCCGGCAAATTTCGATTCACATTTTTAGAGAAGGAAACGTACTCCCAAACGCTAAGACCAAACCGTCGAGCTCGGGCAACGCACGATACAGCGCACACGCAAATCCAAGCGAGATCGCGCACGGGAGGACGGCAACGAGGGAGAAAGAAAACTACAATTCAGCTTAACAACGAAACTGGAATATGTGCAGAAAAGAGCAACGAAACTTGACCTTTCCCATTATTCACTTAAAAGTAACTTGGTTTGAGTGAGTGTTTTTTTTATATAAAAGAAGTAATATTGATACCAATGCAAACAAACTGAACCCCTGTAACACACATAGAGCAAGTATAAATATTATACGTGCGCACACACAGATAAATCACACACGACTATATCTGAATGGTTGCATATTTCCTGGCATTTTGCTCCTCGACACCAATGGGCTACAGTTGAAGTTATAATAATAATCCTGGCATTTGATACAGCGTCTCATCGCGTCTTTTTGAGACGTCTCAGAGCGCTGCACAGAACATACTGTAAAGTGAATTGACTGTATACAGAAAATATATAGTCAATTCACTTCACAGTATATTCTGTGAAGCGTTTTGAGACGTCTCAACGACGCGACGAGGTTTATCGAATGCAAGATTTATTATTAGTTTACTCTTACTACAGATCCAGACTATATAAATAGGTGTTCTAGTGATAACCAGCAATGTACATTGTCAGTTCCTGCAAACGCATGATTTGTTTTCGTACGTAAAAAAGAGTTTCAAAGTTTGTGAGGTATCCAGGTAAAAAGGTCTAATCTGATTAGAAAATGGCGAGTCTGATATTGTTTCACGGATTGCAACCGATCTGTGTAATTTTAACGGATGATTCTGTGGTGTGTGTGTGTTTGGAACGCTACTGCTAAGCGTGAAGACATGATTTAGCAGTAATCTGGATCTGCCCACTCTACACAATCTGTACTCTTAATCGTCAGGGTTTCACAATCTGCTGAAAGGAAAACCTTCCTCGTCCAACCTGATCTGGCTCAGCAACGTATGCAAAGAAAATACTGATTTAATAACGCATGTACTAATGCCAGGAGCCCGGCACAACACAGACTGGACGTGGCCGAGTGGCACAGTGAGATTTGGAGAGCACTACAGCATGTGACAAAAAGAATTGAAGGGGACTCCGAACATTAATTTCAGTGTATGATCAAACGTGATCGAAGATTCATTCGTGGGCTGGAAAGAAAGTTTGTACAGAAAAGGCTATTATCCCACGCAATTCCGACCAACAAGCAGCCTGAATCGTGGCAGACACTCCGCGCTGTAAGCTCAGGTGACAGCCAGCGGAGCTCTCTGAGTGTAGATGATGTCATTCACTTTGTGCTTGATGTTCAGGAAGTGCCTTTTAAACTCCAGCCCGTCTCCCTGCCAGAAGAAAGAAATTTGTGAGTGAAAAGAAAACTCGAAAGACTGGACTTAAAACTTTCAGCCCGACGAGGGCAAAGCTGTTTAAATATGTTGGTGCACTGAAAGGACGAAAGGAAACACGGCAGAAAGAATTTGCACCTTGGATAATCTGAAGTCCACCAGAATCTTCTCATTCATCTCGATCAGATTCACCTTGAAGATCAGCTTGTTATTCCGTCTGTCCATTGTTGATACAGTAACCTGGAAAGCCAGGAATGTTATACGTTACCCGTTTAATGTCTAGGCCTGAACATTCAATCAGATTAATAGGTTTGACACGGTCACTAAGTCTTTAAAATTGTATTCATTTGTACCTTTAATGTAATTTAGTTTGTCAATTAATTAATCAGTCGACTCTTCAACAACAACAACAAATTGTTAGTCATATGTAGTGCCTTCCGCACCAGGAGGATTTCCCGAGGAGCTGGGAGATTAATTCACAATCGTACCTGATTGTTGCAGTTCTTCTTCCAGGAGTAGCCCAACTTCTCACAAATCTCCTTCAGGCTCGAGTAAGACTGGTCAGCACCCAGCTTTGTGAAGAAGCGAGTCATTCTCTTCACCAGGGGCTGCCAGGGATTCTGTGCAACAGTAAAGGATGTGTTTTTTTTTAAAGCAAACATACCAATATATTATTTAATTAATTTCTTGAGGGGTGGGATTTTCAGCCATTACAATCTCAGGACTAAATAATAATAATCCTTGCATTTGATTATAGCGTCTTATTACGTCGTTGAGACGTCTCAAAGCGCTTCACGGGATACCGTAAAGTGGAGCGACTACGTATTTTGGGGGCGAAATAAGAGTACTGGAATCGGGCCAGAACATAAATAGCTTTGTTTTCCGCGTTCCCAAACAGATTTATCAAAGCTCCGGCCTTTGTGTCAGGCAAACAATAGAGATCTGTACTTTCCTTGTGTGGTCGATGACAACAGAGAATAAAGGGTAACAGAACATGAAAGGTTTATCCCAGAAGAGAGACTCATACACGAGGTCAGAGAATCTGCTCATAGCAACGTTCTCCCAGGAAACATATGCCCTCTGTTATGGATGATCTTATTGCAGCTATTGTACCAGTTAAACAAATGTAGAACACACATTTCAGGGCTTGTTTCAAGTACAAGTTTCCTTTGTCGCAGAATGCTCTCCCTGTTTTTTTTTACCTGTGATGATCCAGGTGTGCTTTGTAATTGACTGCTAAGCAGCATGTGTTCGGTGCAGACAGGCTGGGAAAAGCTGATGCCCTGGACGAGATTGTCAATCTCGGAGTGATTCGAATCCCATGACGATGTCCCCATGCGAGGTTCCGGCTGAGAGCTTGAGTACCTGGTCCGGTCCTCGCTGCAATAACACGCAAATGTCAAAAAGTGGCAGAGAATATATACCGGCGATTAAAGGCTTTTTTTCTCTCTCTCTCTCCCTCGACAGTACTACTTTTTTTATTAAAAAAAATTAACGAACAAAACCTGTGTAAACGCGAGATTTTTCTTTAGAAAAGAGAAGAAAATCGAGAACCCCCAATTTGTCAAAGCAGATGATGACTGGAATCAATTTCTGACTGCGATCAGAAAATGTCAGCACAGTTCAGTTGGTCGTCCAGTCATCTCTGAGGCAGAAGCTTACAACCCTATATCAGGTCTTTGAACTCACATACTCAGGTTCGCTAACACTCCAACGCAGTGCCGGGCGTGCTGTGTTGCTGGGGAGGTGCTATCCTTCGGATGGAAAGTTAAACCGAGGTCCTGTCTCTGTTCAGACGGGCATTAAAGATCCCATGGCACAGAGAAACTCCCTTCACTAACCAGTCAGTATAATCCTAGAAGGTTTGCTTACCTCCAAAGTTCACTACTGACAGGAGACAGACCCATCGCAGAATGAATGTGTTTAGAAAACGGTCCCTGGGAGTCATTCTGACTGCCTGAAGACACACAAGGTCTCTTCACACCTACAAGAAAGAACAACAGATGCTCACAACACTGCAATCAAACCACAGAACGTATGAACGTGATCGACACAAAAAAATACACCCATCCAAAATGTTCTTCTGTTGTTCCTCCCAAAAGTGTTACGAGTCAGGAGGTGATTAATATGACTAGTGCAAAGAAATCTAAGTTGTTTTGATAGGAAACTGAATGAGATGTGGGTGAATGTACGACTTAGACGATTTTATGATTTATAAAGATAAGACTTATGAGATTTCCAGTGTATTAAAAGAAATTCCTCAACTGTGTGAATGTAACAAAGCCAACTTACCCCTTTTAAACTGCTTGCTGAACCACTTCTCCTTTTTAATGCTTGAAATTGTAGCTCTGCTCTTGGTACTTTCAACCAGAATCTTGTTCAAAAGAGCTGCACTTCCCAAAGACAGAAACGTCAAAAGGCAAAAGTTCTTACAGTTACAGAAATTGAGCTAATTGCATCTGTAACTATTTAAAAATCTGCTTCATCTTTTAAAAAACAAACCGCAGAGGCATTTTAAAACACCAATATCTTTGTTACTCTCCAAAGTCTGATTCCCAACAAAGTGTGAATGAGACTGCTTTGTTTATATTGGATTTTGCTGTAATTAAAATATCAGTTTCACCCCCAAAAAAGTCAACTAATTTTACAGTGTATTCTATGAAGCGCTTTGAGACGTCTTGAAGACGTGATAAGGCACCATATCAAATGCAAAGATTATTATTAGTTGAGAAATGTTGAGGGTTAGCTCAAATTGAATAGGTCCACAGACTGATTGGCTTCAGAGAGAATTAATGCACATTGGTGGTGTGAAATCTATCTGGGAAGAGGCGCTAATTGTCAGGAAAGGACAAAGGCACAAGTCTGATAGAGGGACTGAAGTATGTAATCTAATGTGATGCCTACGTTTCAAAGATTTGTTGGCTGTGACATTCTGACAGCATAATTTTAAGTTAATACAGTAGCAGTAAATTCCTTTAGGACATCTGAAAGAATGAATAATAAAACCTTACTCAGGGGTATGGGATCGATTTTCTTCCAAGGCGTCAGGTACAGTTTCTTCTCCTTCCAGTCACAATATTCCTGGCAATTGTCAGTTGCTTGGTCCCATGGTAACTCTGCAACAAAAAAGCAGCCATCCTTAAGTAACATGGGGGGGAACCCAAACTGTAGGCCAACAAACAGCAATTTTACATTTATACAGCTCCTTTCAGGTCAGGAGGGCGTCCCAAGGAACTGATCAGTCCAGGGTTTGCATACGAGCTGGAGGTTGGGAGCTGAGGGGAGTGGGGATGGTGGTGGTGGGGGTTGAGCGAAAAAAGAAAAAGATTGCCAAAGCCGCGATCAAAGAGGAAGGCGTAACTCGAACAGCTGAACAGAGGAAGAATCTGGCTTTACCTTAAAAAACACCATTATAACCAAAGCATACCTAGTGTGCAGGAAGCAGCCAGTCAGGCAATTTGTTCGATCCCTCCCTCCCTCACCACTCAACAGCTCAAGTGAAAGCCGACACCTCTGATAACACCTTTGGTTACAGAATGTTGGCTTTCGGTTGTAATCAGACTCTCGCATTGTTCAGCTCCAATAAGCAAACTTTCCTGAATAAAGCAGTTGCCCTGTAATTACCTGTGAAGTGTTTCGATGTGGGAGACCCAATAGAAATTACAAGTCTTTTTTTCTAACAACAACAAACCTCCAGCCAGCATGGCAGTGAGAACGATTCCACACGACCAGACATCCACAGGTTCTGCGTGGAACTCCTTCCTCTTCAGTAACTCGGGAGCCACGTAGGGGAGCGTGCCGCACATTTTGTTCAGCAATCGCTCGCGGTTGTTGTGCCTGAAGACCGTAGCCAAACCAAAGTCTGAGATCTTCAGGTTATCTACAGAAACAAAATACAGCAGAATATCAGTACAGTAGTTACAAAAAAGCAAGCATGAAAATAATAATCCTTGCGTTTGATACAGCGTCTTATCACGTCTTTGAGAGGTCTCAAAACGCTTCGCAGAATGTGCTGTCAAGTAAATTGACTGTATGTTTTGTGGGTGAAAGAGTAATTGGTGCAGGATTATCAATATGTGAGCCACGCAGTTTGGGTTCTACATCATCTCCAGCCTTGCGTGAGAAAGGCGTATTATGTGCCAGCAATGTTTTTAGGAGAAGACGAAGAAAATAAACTGCGCAGGACCTAATTCTAGAGGCCACTTTAAGACACTGAGAGCTGCCCGTCAAAAGGAATGTCGGTTTAACACTGAGAATCGGTGAATTCCGAATCATTTCCAGTACCTCTCTCATCAAGGAGGAGATTCTCCGGCTTGATGTCCCGGTGTGTGATTCCAAGGCTGTGAAGATACTCCTGGAAGAGGGCAAAGGCCGACCATGAGAAGCAGTTTGCATTGTCTATCCACCTATAAACATTTCCTTCCACAAGCTGCAGAATTATAGTTTGATATATCGGTTTGTGACCCTGACCTACACTATTGTACCCAAAAATGTTAACTCTACGCATAAAAGTCTCGAAGATGTGAAAAGCGCTATATCAAATATTGATTATGTATTGACTTACAAACCAGGTGCGAAACACGGATCACTGTCTTTACTCACCACGCCTCCTATCAGCTGTTGGAAAAACCTCTGAGCGTCCACTTCTGACATCCCCACATCGGGCTCTGCAGGAACATAAATCGTATAATAATAGCATTTGACATAGCGCCTTATCTCGTCTTCGCGACGTCTCGAAGCTCTTCACAGAATACACCGTAAAGTGAATTGACTGTTTATTTTGTGGGGGTATATTTTATCATCATAACAGGTGACACCTCTTACCTTAATATCAACCTCTATTTTATTAACACTATTATGGTCATCTCGACACAAAAAAAAATCTGTAGGAGCTGAATGAATTCCTCACCTATTCTGTCGAACAGCTCCCCTCCGCTGCAGTACTCCAGGAACAGGTACTGAATAGTCCCCTCACGCCGATACCCGTAAAACCTCACAATGTTTTTGTGGGTTAACATCTTATTGATGCAGATCTCCTTCTTGATGTTTTCGGGGCAGTCCAGAGCCCGTGTGGTATCCACTTTCTTCACTGCCACCGCTTCCTCCGTCCGCCTATTTACAGCCAATTGTACTCTAAAGGCAAAACAAAAACCATCCCAATGAAGTCTGAACAATCCTTCGGAAAAAAAAAAACTTTGAAGAGGGCCGTGACTTCAAACAGCATTTAACAACACTGATAAACAGCGAAGACTCACTCCCCATAGGCTCCTTCACCCAAAGTCTGCACCAGGTCCCAGTCCTCCACAAATGGAACAGCCATCGTTCCAGTCAATCAGCACAGAACTGAAAAGCACAACCCTCCTCGTGAACACAATCTCATTGTAATAATATAATAATAATAATAATAATCCTTGCATTTGATGCAGCGCCTTATCACGTCTTCTGGACGTCTCAAAGCGCTTATCATTGCACATCGGACGAGAAATCCAGAATGCTCTTCTTATCGTGAAGGATATCCTTTGCTCGTCGATTATTAAATGTCCATTTTGTGACCGGAGTGGTGGTGGTGGGGGAGGGGGGGGGGGGGGGTGAGTGGGGGGTGGAGAGAGAGAAGGGGGCAAAAGAGAGTGCCTGGCATTGTTGGAACCAAGTCAGCTCTTGGTAGTCCGGTTCCTGAGGCCAGGGAGGTCCACACACCCCCCCCCCACACACCCCCACACACACAAACCCACACACACACACAAACAAACTCCAGGGCATACGGGGAGCAGGGATTCCTCCCGCTCGACTCCTGCGAACCCCGATAGCCGCCGTAAGACTGCGGTGGGTGAAGGGAGACCGAGGTTCGCCTTCCGCCATCCTGGCAGTGGCAGTGGCAGTGGTCGTGTCCCAAACCCGATCGCGTCTGTTATCCCCGGATGTTATTTTCGAGCAGAAATCGATCTGATTTGCTCTTCAAACAAATGACATTTTCTGTTCCACACACAAACCCACACACACAAACCCCCCACACACCCCCCCCCTACACACACACAAACCCCCACACACACACACACCCCTCCCACCCACACCCCCACCCTACACACACAAACCCCACCCCCCTACGCACACCCCCACACCCCCCACCACACACACAGCCCCCCCCCCTCTGTACCCGGAGCCCCGGTGAGGCCCCGCCCCCCCCCCACCCGCCCCCCCCCCACCCGCCGGAGGGCAATTAATCCCAAACTCCGGACCATCGAGAAGACCTCAAACAAACGTGAGAACGGGAGCCGCGGCCTCACCCGCCGCTGCACCGCCGGTGTCCCCGGGCCCCGGGGGGTGGGGGTCAGTGTCTCTGTCTCTGTCTCTCGGCGACGCTCTCAGAGACGGGTTTGAGTTTTGGCGCCAAGAAAAAAAAGCAAAGCGGCTCCGCGTCGCAGGAAGATGACGTCAGACTCATCGTCATCCTCCCGTCATCCGTCACCTCTGGCGGGGAATTCAAACCGTCCACAACACCAACACCAACGCCCCCCCCCCCCACCAGGCACCAGCCACTGCACCCCCACCCCACCAGGGCACCAGCCACTGCCACCCCCCAGGGCACCAGCCACTGCCACCCCCACCCCACCCAGGGCACCAGACACTGCCCCCCCCCCACCCCACCCAGGGCACCAGCCACTGCCCACCCCACCCAGGGCACCAGCCACTGCCACCCCCACCCCACCAGGGCACCAGCCACTGCCCACCCCACCCAGGGCACCAGCCACTGCCACCCCCACCCACCAGGGCACCAGCCACTGCCCACCCCACCCAGGGCACCAGCCACTGCCGCCCCCACCCCACCCAGGGCACCAGCCACTGCCACCCCCCAGGGCACCAGCCACTGCCACCCCCACCCCACCCAGGGCACCAGCCACTGCCACCCCCCAAACCCCACCAAGGGCCACAGCTACTGACACCCCATCCCAGGGTCACGGCCGCCGACACCAGGGTCACAGGGAGAGGGAAGAGATTCAGCCCATTCAAACCTTGTCCTGGGACATTTACTTGACACCAGCACGGTCGAAAAGGGGGGGGTCCTGAAGGAGGCAAGCGAGGGGGCGAGGCAGAGCGACTGTGGGATGGAGTTCCAAAGAGTGGGGGCAGAGAGGCTGAAGGCAATGGTGGGGCAGGCAAGGTATGGGACACCCACTAACAGGGACCGTGAGCTGGGTTTACAGTTTAGACCATTGCGAGGCACGTTAGTGTTACCTGACTGATGATGTGTCGATGCAATAGGAATCTTTCTCCAGTAAATTAGGCTTTCCCTTAAGAATCCAATTTTTTTCCCCCCAACAATATTTGCACTACAAATCCACCAAACACTTTACAGCAAAGCTCATTCCCTCTGCCTCTCACCAACCCCAAGAGGAACAAAACCACACATCACAGCCTAATTCCCAGTGTCCATTGGAACCCTTTATTTTCGCACTGTGGAACTTAAAACAGCGCAATTTTGTTTTGGATACTTGCCAGCAATTGTACAAATCATTGATCACTGAAACAGTTGGCCAGACACAACGCAACATGTAAAACTCTTGATTTCTTCTTTTATTCCCAAACTAGCGTATAAAAAAAACCCAAATACAACTCTCTTCCCAGGACAAGGCATCAGTCAGTGCTGTTTTCCGTCGAGCTGTTTTGTGCTTTTACGTTCTTGAGAGGCCACGGTTATCCAAATCTTTAACCTGAAGACAAAAACATGGATGAGTAGAAGAAAACCCTTCCAAGTACTGAATCTCGTTGTAAGCTATCAAATAAATAGCACTATTTCTTGTATCTCGTACAACAGTGCAAAATCTATTTGCCCAGAACTACATATACTATATTTAGACAAACAGACTTTGTAAAGCAGTAGAAATGTGAACTATGTACAACGGTGTGCTGTTATGGAAAATAATCTCAGGATACAATATTATAGTTTGGGACACATGTCAAGTGACTGTCAGGATAGTGGAAGGTGAACTAGATGGACCTCGGTCTTCTTTCGCCTAGCAACTTCTTATGTATTCTTTTCAATATACCATAACCCTTGATTAACAACCTCTCCTCCTACTCTCTCTTGCTGCTCTTATTTTGAAGATATTACTGCGGATGTGGTGTATAAGATACATGGATTTTCAAAAAGCTTTCGACAAGTTAAAAAAAAAAATTGGGTACATGGTATTAATGAAAATAATGGAGGCAGCATGGATACAAAGTTAGTTAAAGGATGGGAAACAGAGGGCAGATAAATGGGACTGAAAGGAATTATGCTTGAGGGAGCCAACACAGTACGATGGCCTGAATGGCCTCCTGTGCCGTAAATTTCTGTTGTTCCACCTAAGATTGTCCTGCGTTATCGACCCATTTCGGTTTCCAACATGAACTGGGTTGGTCGCTTCCTGTACGGCACTCACCTTGTATATACGCACCAACCAGTGCTCAGTGGTGTAAGCCTCTTCTAGAACGTCCAGCTCAAAGTCTTTGTTTCCAATCTCCGCATTTCTTACCCTGTCGTAGCCAGGTGGGCGTTCTGCGTCGGGAGAAATCAAAGCGCTAGTTAAGAAATAATCGTACAATTTGAAGCCAGGATTACAATTTTGCCCAATGGGAATCTCAGCAGAGTTCCTATTACGTGAGTCCTGAGCATATTTGAGCCACGGATCTGGCACTACCAGTCGGCAGTCAGAGCTGGCGTGGAAATCCATATAAAAAAAATGCAAAACTATTGGCTTGAATATCAGACTATCCTCGCCAATGAACTAAATACGAAATGAATCTTTAATGCAATTCGCTATGTACTCAGGTGGGTGGTACGCGCACACTCCCCCTCACTCACTTGCTTCTGTGTAGACCTGGCCGAAGCGATAGTAGCACATTTTGTACATCAGGCAGTTGAGTAGGACTGGAGATCCCTCTCGGTCCACGCGGAATTCTCCTGTCGGTGTGTAATAATCATGCTCCTTGATATGTCTGCCTGTGTCTGTGCTGCCTCCAATTCTTACCATCCACAAAAACTTGTTGATATCTAAAGACAAAATCATTTTTTCCACACATCTTATAAAGAGAATTATATCACAGAACGAGTTTAAACATCAAACTGCTTCTCCTCTGCATCTCGAGTCTCTAGAATTCCACAACCCAGCAAAGCGGCAAATTGAAATCCATTCGAAAGTCACGGAAGAGCGTGAGATGTTTCAGCTTTTCCCACGTGGGGGGGGGGGGGGAAATAAGTTGATTTTCCAAAATAAAAATTGTACAAGTACTGTACATTACAAAGAATTAGGGAGTAAAAGTAAAAGGATGAAACGCGTATTAATTGGAACTTCAAAAAGAAAACATTGATTTGTAAACTTTCATTCTCCTCTCACACGGTGTACAGTATTTATTTGTGTTCAGATCGACAGTGCTTTACGAGCCTGGAACCTTCTGGTCCAGTTGAAGAGGAATTATCCCTGCCGTTAACAAAGTGTGTTCTTAACATTTTATAAGTGTATTCACCTCATTATACAGTAACAATCTTACCATCGGAGGAATATCCTGTTAGACCTCCAAAAATTACCAGCACGTAGCTGACATCCAACTCTCTCATGATTTCATAGGCTTTCTCTTCTGGAGAGGCCATGGCCTGCAAAATAAACATACTCAATATAAATGGAAGTTGTCGATGCGTTGCATTGTAAACCGCGGGGTTTACTGGATGTCTGCTTCTCTGCATCAGGCATGAGGTGCTGGTGTAACAAAATGGTTGAAATGTTGGTAAAATTCTTACTTGTCTGCATTCGACCAACTACACATTTTTCTCAAGTTTAAACCTGTAGCGCAAGATAAGCAAGAACATGCAGCCAGCTGTTTGGTACAAGTACGGTGAGAGACATGTGGAACTGGAACCTGCAAATGCTCTAACAGGAGTGAGCCACTTTAGTTTCTACTGAGATGTTGAGGCACCGAGAGGCTCGCTCACCTGTCCGACTCTGGAAATATGAGTGTTATTCCAGGTGTTGTTGTCCACGAGGATGGTTCGATTTGCCATTGCCGTGATCTGATAGCCATAATCCCACCAAGACATCACTTTGGCATCCTGTAAGAGAACAGGATAATAATAATAATAATAATCATGAATTAGGACAAAGACAAGACCAAGAGAGTTCCATCCGTATTTATAGATCTTCCTCATACAAAAACGCCCTCAACTGCTGACAGCCTTAAAGAGGTAATAGGAACACATTCCAAGATAATTCTCCCACTCCATTGTTACCATTTCTAAACACAGTGGCGCGGAAATCACTCTTACCTCGGGTGTATTGTGTCTTAGCCAGTAATAAGCCTCTCTGAAGTCGTCAAAGATAATCCTACTTCCATCTCCTCCGCGGGCAGACAGGACAATGGAGGGAGAAGAATACGCCTCACTGGTCACCCACGTGGAATGAAAGGTGTACGTGATGAGAAAGAATGTCATCACGAAGACCATTCCACTCGCCACCTGTATTACAGCAGAGTACAGAAGAGAATTTAACAAACTTTCTGCAATGGAAACAGTTGTATTAATCCCCTCTCTCTCTCTCTCTCTCTCTGTCTGCCTCAGACACAATCACCTAAGTGCAATTATGTTTGAACCCAATTTTGGATCCTCGATTTCAAGTTTCTCCTGTAAAGCAGTGTTGAGTGAAAACAGGTTCAATGGAGACAGCACACGACAGGATCTTGGTTTTACTCCATATAAAGCACCTCCAACAATGTAGTACAAGAGATGTCACTCATCCTTCCAACACAAACGTAGTCCCATAGTTAATAAACGTTCTCGTCAAATTTAACCCTCGAGTGTCTCTAAAAATGGTTGCCCATAGAAACATATTAGCACTTTACCGTGTCAGTTTGAAATATCTCTGATTGCAACTTTAGGGCAGTAAAGCATAGCTAAGTTTTGAATCCCAAGGCAGTCAAGACTGAGTCTTACTTCATTTTTAATCGGGTAGGTAGAATCCTGCTGCTTTTTTGACTTCTTATCTGGGCGGCTGATATCCAGGTTCTTTATATAAGTTGACAGAACTTGAGATACACCGATCCCTGACAGGATACACATTACAGGGGCTAACACCAGCATAAGTCGAACCTGTAGAGTTAATAAAAAAATAAAACAAGAGAATTAATAAAACACAAGGTTAGAATAAACATGTTTTGCTAGTTTCAAGACCATTAACACCGAGGACAAGGGGGCCCTTTGTCTTGAGGAATGAGGAGAGAAGTGGGAAACATCTAGTTTGGGGGAAATCAGAAAGAACTGAACAATAACTTTTCACTGAGTAAATTTACACTCAGGCCACGTGTTGTGGAGTAAAAGCAGGTTGAAAAATTGTAACAAAAAATAGAGTCTATTGACATAGAGAGTGATTGGCTGTAATGCTCTAAGGACATCACAAGTCGTGGGATTGAAAATTGGATCAAAATAAACCTCAGGAGAAGTAATCTGGGAAACTATGATCATAAAGAACAATGGACAGTTGTGAGACCGATGGCCTATGTATATACGCTTACCATCACAGCGGAAAAGTACATACTGGTGACACCGTACATGATGATGAAAATCCTGGCATCTGACAGGTTGTTGAAGCAGTAGTACAAACCGACTGTAGGAGAAACAGATACTGTAGTCAGAGTAGCACTTAGAAGGAATCCCACCCAATTTACATGTCTTTTATATGTTTAAATCTAGTCTTCTATAAATCCCGGGATTTCGGGACCACCATTATATGGGATCGGGATTCCCGGGATTGCACCCCCAGTCCCATTAGAGTCAGACAGGCTACAACAATGTGGTTATACTCTTACTTGCTATACCTCTTCTGCTCAAAGCAGATTTTAACATACTGAAGTTATATGTTTCCAAGACATGTTAACTCGGTGAAGACTGCTGCAATTTGTTAAAGTATAGCTTTAGTAAACTTAGTATAAAGGAAGATAGGAAATATACATTCAAAACAGCCCGTGAAGTCCACAAACAGCTAGTTAGCATTGATGGGAACTCCAAACTTCCCCACTTTTTAATCTTTATATAGATCTTGAATATGTTTAGGTTCAGTCAGATATAAAGTAAACAGAATCCACTTTTCCAATTCTTTGAAGGAAAACGATACGGGTGAGCACACGGCTGAAACAGTCAAAACACACAGCTTGCTTAACAGCCACAAGTCCACTTGTCAGATGAAACCAGATGCAAATCTCGACATCTCAAACAGCCTTTTCTAAGAATCCGTGCATAGGAAGTAGCGTGCTTGTGTTACTTTCCCACACTCTTGGTTACAGTACCTGGGAACATGAAAACAAGGAGCTGTAGATCAAAGTAATACGATGACCAGGTGGTGGGCTGGTGCTCAGAGACGGAGGCAATGATTGGAATATTGTTTTTCGCATACGACGGATCCAGCAATGAGTAGAAACGCCCAGTCCATGGGGAAATTTTACCTGCAACAAAGCCAACAGGCAAACAGAATCAGTGCTACAGGAGCTAAACAAAAGTATCTGGGGGTTCCAGAATTCCATGACAGAAAATATACAGTCAATTCACTTCACAGTATATTCTGTGAAGCGCTTTGGGATGTCTCAAGCAGTAATGCCTGTTTTTGAGACATTGACTCGACCAATGTAAATTCCGGAGGCTCCCAAAAAACTATACATTTCTTCCCTGTGTTATTTTGGTAAATTGTTAGCAGCTTTAGCCACAAAGGCATTTCTACAATTTCCTGAATAATTTCCAAACCGATTGCTTCCTAATACTGTCACCTCATTTTAAAATACGATCCCCAAACGGTTTCTAAATAAGCGACGAGTGACTCCCAACAAATCCACCTTTGCTGTACCATAAGCAATGATGTACGCATCTACATATTTATAGTACCTGTCAGAACCAGCACGGTTCCTGCAGCTAGCACAACCAACCCAACCAGAGAGATGACGCTCTTAAACAGGACCTCAAACTGTTGTGTGCTGAGTTTGCTGCGCAGGTAATCAACAAAGGCGTGGATCTGGCACAAGCCAAACACACCCAGGGCAGCCATATGCTCTGAAGACTGGACAGGCTGCGGGGAAGAAAGAAACCAACAGTTAATTTCAGCGCATCACTGTACCTTTTATCTCAGAGGCGCATTGTACACTAACGGCATTGGAGATTATGACGTTTTTTTTCCCAGCGTTCAAAATTCGCGAGCATTCAAGCCAGAGTCTTGCAGTGACTTACAATACAATAAAAGTTTGCACTTGTACAGCGCCTTTCACATCCGCAGGAAGGCCAGCTTTTGCAGCCGAGCTGGGGGTGGGGGGGCCGAGGGCATAACTCACGACAGTTATGGAACTCTCTGCCTCAATCCTTCTGGCTTGCAGCACCCCACTCCCTCCCTGTCCTTCCTCTTTGACCGTATCTGTGGCCATCTTCCCCCTCTCCCTGGCTTGGCATCAAGCTCCGCGACTGTTAAGCACTCTGAGACACTACCCCACGAGAAGGGCACTATATAAATGAGAGTTGTTGTTGCTGTTACAACAAAACTCCTGCAATAAAAGGAACTTCACGAACCTGGAATCCCACAAAGGAAATCTGCATGGAGAGGATGGTTCCCAGGCAATAGACAGTACAGTAGGCAACATAGATGCGGTGCGAAAACCGACCAGTCAACATCAGGATGAGAACATGAAGTGGAATCAGATTGATCAGGAACACGTAACCACCCCACGAGGAAACCTGAAAGAGTTCAAACAAGGTTAGAAGAAACAGCAAAATAATAATTCCTCATTTAATACAGTGCCTTATCACGTCTTCGAGACATCTTAAAGCTCTTCACAGAATATACTGTAAAGTGAATTGACTGTATACTTTGTGGGAAAAACGCAGCAGCCAATTGCGGACAACAGCGTCCCACAAACAGTCTGGATTGAGGGATCAATTTTTTTTTGAAGCATACAGAAAGTTGGCCAGACATCCAATTCATCCTTTGGACTTTGCACATCTCAATATGTTCACATTACCTTTAAGTTGCACTGGAAGTGAGTTCTCAACACAGTTCTACTTATTGATCAGAGAGAGAGACAATGAAACAGAGTGCAGGCACACCCACAACAGGAACACTTTGCCGAAGCCCTGAAACACTTCCTCTAAACCCATTGTCCTCTTTTCTGCTTTCTTCCTTGACTGCACATTCGGTGACCTCCCTCCTAACCCCTATCTCCCACTGTGTGTCAGCCTGCCTCTCTGGCAGCACTCTCGTCTGCGTCAGAAGGTTGTGGGTTCAAGCCCCACATCAGAACTTGGAATCATGCATTCTAAGCTGATGCTCCAGTGCAGCGCTGGGTTTGTGTGTTGCGCTGTCCGAGGTGTCCCCGAGTTTCTATTGTATAAACAGGTTTACAGAATAACCATTAAAAGAAACCGAAGTCAGCACTTACCATATAAAAGTACGCTAAGGCACACATAGATGACCAGTAGATGGAGCCAGTCTTTACGGCCTTAATCCACATATAGTATGTGAGCAGCATGCAGAAGATAGCAATACCTGCAGATATATGTATCATAAATAAAATGCACAAAGATAGGGCTTTAGGCACGGGAAATGTTTCAAAGCGCTACGCAGAGATGCTTGGGTGCCCAAGCAGGATAGGAAATAGAGGAGGAGTAGGAGAGAGGTGGGTTTACAGAAGGATTCTGAAAGCAGACCGAGAAGAAATGTAAGGCAAGTGTTACAAGGTTATTCCAGGTTGTACTCTCACCTTCGTTATCATAGGAGCCAGCCACGGAACGTGAAATGTATCCAGGTACCACAGCGATCATGGCAGCAGCTAACAAGCCAGCACCTGCGTCCTGAAACACAAATAGTATCGTCACGATCTGTCACAGTCACAGACTAGACAACGATTTAGAGACAGAAGTCGCTGAGAACATTCAGCGGGTCAGGCAGCATCTAATGGAGAGGAAAGTGAGTTAACGTTTCAGGTCGATGACCTATCGTTAGACGATGACGTTTCGTCAGAACTTTCTGACGAAAGGTCAGAGACCTAAAACGTTAACTCACTTTCCTCTCTCCATAGATGCTGCCTGACCTGCTGAGTGCTCCCAGCGACTTGTGTTTTTTCCTCCAGATTTCTAACATCTGCAGGATTTTCATTTTGTTCAAAGATTTATAGAGGTGGAGGACTACTTTCACTTTTAAAGATGCCGAACCCACAGTAACGGCAATTACAGGCAGTAATGGACTTGTACTAAGCACTGAATTTAAGTGAGATTCCCTCAAACTCATTACTTTGCTATTTCTACATTTCCATGTCTCTTTCTGCTTGATACAAAAAGGCAAGTGTTGTAAGTCATAGATTTAGCCCGCAGAAGAAGGGTCGTCTTGTGTGACTCTGCACAGACCTTAAAGCAAGGAAAGTTTTCAAAGACCTTTTGAATTTAAGAAACGCAGACTGCCAAACCTAGCTTCTTGTGTTATTTTACTTCTTACCTTCAGCTCTCTTGTTAAATGGTACGTCACAATGGTGGTAAAGGAGGAGAAAAGCGGAGCCAGAAACACACACACATTCCTGATGTCAACTGTGATGTGAAAGAAGTGTAGGACATGGTAGAGGGTGGCTGAGGTTATCATGAGACCTGGAAATTTTAAACAAGCGGTTTTGAGTTTCTGGAAAACAATATTCCTGCCCTCAAAAACACATCAGATCTATCTCATCTGTGCCATATATCGATTTAATTACTATGTCTAGGTTGACACCCAAAGCAGTGAGGATGTATTGTCCTTCGGATGAGACATTAAACAAGAGTCTTGTCTGCCTGATCAGGTGGACATTATAAGAGAAGGGAGTTTCTTGTTGTCCTGGCCAATAATCACCCAAAATAAAAGTTATTTACTTTACTTTATGGCTGTTTGTGGAACATTGTTGTGCACAAATTGGTTTCTGAATAGTAAAGTTACCCACAAGCATTAAATTTCGCCCACAAAATATACAGTAAATTTACAGTATATTCTGTGAAGCTCTTTGCGACGTCTCAAAGACGTGATAAGGCGCTACATCAAATGCAAGGATTATTATTGTCATTAGGTTGTGTACCAACCCGGGTAGATTGTTCCTCCAATAATTCTTCCCAGTGGATACCAAGCTCTGTCATCAAACCAGTTATGAAATTTGTAGAAACCCTCTTCAGTAAGAAAGCGAGTGGTCCTGTAGTTGAAGTACCTATAATACATTGAGAGGGGAAAGAAACAAAGTTCTCTATAAACATTCTTTTTTAAGAACAGTAATATACAATATATTGTGGGATCCACTGCATTCAATAAATAAATAAATCTTGGCATCCACTGCTCATCAACATGTACATTGCAATTACGGGGCTTATTGTCCATCAAATACTCCAGCAAAAAAACACAGAAAATGATGAGAAATCACAATTTTATTTATTATGCCTAACATACAAATGTATCCAAAATTAACGGCTGAGATAGCGTTACTGATTCACAATTCACCCACAAAATACACAGACATCTCAACTACATGATAAGGTCCTATGTCAAATGCAAGGATTATTATTATTATTCCAGACCGAGATTCTATCTTTAATATCAATGTATCAGTTACTGTAATGCAGATTACCAGTTCCCTTCTATAAAATAAATGTTAACTCATTACTGGCAGAATTTGGTTAAGTTTTACTTGCGAAGCCAAAACATACTTACGGGTCAAACTCATGGATAACACTTTCAAACCTCAGGACAGAGAATAACCTGGTGGAAAAAGCTGTAGACAAAAAAGAGTGTTTCAGGACATAGTATTTTTCCATTAAAGTAAGATGTACTATCTTATAGATCTAATTCCACGACTGTTTGTGGGACACTGCTGTGCGCAATTGGCTGCAGCGTTTCACCCACAAAATATACAGTCAATTCAATTCACTTTACACTATATTCTGTGAAGCACTTTGAGACGTCTCGAAGACGTGATAAGGCGCTGTATCAAACGCAAGGATTATAGGATTATTATTAATACGAGATGCATTTCTGGTTTTACTCTTCGCTGCCTCCCACAAACATTGCCAAACCCTGGTTGTGACACGAGGCTACAGGAGAATTTCCAGCCTTTTGGTGTAAAGAGACGCTCATTCGGGACTCACAGAGCACTGCTGCCATGGACAGAATGAGCAACTTCAGCAGTGTGTCTTGCTTCTCATAAGACAACCGCAGGAATCCTAGTTTCGTCATCTTTGGTCTGGTATCAACAGCAGACAATCAATTGCCTAGACAATTATAACAGAAAAAAAACACATTAAATATTAAGCCAGTAACAGCAAAAAGACAACCATGTTTGGATAAAATATGTTCTTTTTTGAATTCATGCTTTGATAACTGATCACGATAAGAGATATCGCTGCTAGAAATGGAGTAAATAGGAGAGAGGATGGGGAAGAGAGAAAAGGGAGAGGGGCAGAGGCAGCTATGGATGTGCTTCAATTCCTACAACTATTATTCAAATAAATAAGAGGTCAGGTTGGTGGAACCAAACACTTTGAGACATCGTTCCAACGTAAAACGCACTTTATAAATGTACATGGTAAGGCATTTGTCAACGTGTGCAGAGAATAGCTACGAAATGCCGATTGCGGGAACTCGTAGCAGTTGCAATAATAGTTACGCTGCAATTTACACTTAATTGGCGCCTTTCGTAGCAGGACGTCCCAAAGGAAAGGAGGGAAGAAAGGTGACCGAAAGCATGGTCACAAGGGAAGATCTTAATAGGGGTTAATAGGATGTAGCGTTCGTCCGCTGCGCACTCATCATATCAGCTGCTGTGTTCAGACATAAACACACAGTCACTACACTCCGCAGCGAAGAATCCTGCCCGAACTGAGGCTGGAAAGGCTGGACCGAATAGCACGACGTGTCAATGGTTCCAACCGGCAACTTGACGAGAGAGAAAAGTTTTTCTTTTTCTTTTCAAGAGCGAGTGAGAGAGAGAGAGAGAGAGAGAGAGAGGGGGAGAGGGAGCGGTTTCACGAGGATAAACGGTAACAAACATAAACCCCTGCGGAAAATAAATAAATATATAAACAATACGAATAATTTGGGCGCTTCCGACCCACGACTGTGCGCGTGTGTGGGGTTTGGGGGGGGACGCGGACGCCGTTGTGCCTTTCGTTCCCCCCCACCCCCACCCCAAACCCTCAAAACGCACGGTCCCCGCGCTTAACGGCGCGCCCCGCGGAGCGCTTCGGGACGTGTCTCGGCGGACGCGCCGGGGGGGAGGGGTGAGGGGGGGGTTCAGGCATTGTGGGGGTTATTGATAATAATCGATCGTTAATCGTGTATAGAATGAGACAGGCGGCGACTGTGACTGACTGTGATGGTCTGACCCAAGGCTACAGCAGTGAAGGGGCCGGACTCCCCTCTGACGGGGGGGGGGAGAGAGGGGGGAGAGAGGGGGGAGAGAGGGAGAGAGGGGGGAGAGAGGGGGGGGGGAGAGAGGGGGAGAGAGTGGGGGAGAGAGTGGGGGAGAGAGGGGGAGAGAGTGGGGGAGGGGGGAGAGAGAGGGGGGAGAGAGAGGGGGAGAGAGAGGGGGAGAGGGAGAGAGAGGGGGAGAGAGAGAGAGGGGGAGAGGGAGAGAGAGGGGGGGAGAGAGGGGGAGGGGGAGAGAGTGGGGGAGAGAGAGGGGGAGAGAGTGGGGGAGGGGGAGAGGGGGGGAGAGAGAGAGGGGGGAGAGAGAGGGGGAGAGAGAGAGAGGGAGGGAGAGAGAGGGGGGGAGGGGGAGAGGGGGAGAGAGAGGGGGGAGAGAGGGGGAGAGAGTGGGGGAGAGAGGGGGTAGGGGAGAGAGAGAGGGAGAAGGGGAGAGAGGGGGAGAGAGAGAGGGGGGAAGAGAGTGGGGGGGAGAGAGGGGGAGGGGAGAGGGGGGGGAGGGGGAGAGAGAGGGGGGAGAGAGTGGGGAGAGAGAGAGAGAGGGAGAGAGGGGGAGGGAGAGAGGGGGGTAAAGAGAGAGGGGGAGAGAAGGGGGGGGGGGGGGGAGGGGAGAGTGACTCCTCAGGGCCTCCCCACCCACCCGGGGCTCGGACAGAGCCGCTCCTCTCCTTCACCCACACCCCCCGCTGGCGCTCTCTCTCTCTCCCCCTCCTCTCTCTCTGTGTGTGTGACTCCCCCTCCCCCCGAGGCCTAGGCTTTACCTGCTCTCCTCAGCGCCGCGTCTCTCCCGCTCATCCTACAACCTACCCCTGCTGGCCGGAAGCACCCGCCCTCCCGCCGCTGTCCCCCACCACTCCCCGCCTCCCCGGCCGGGCAGGCCGTCACCTGATTGGGCCGCGGCCGCTGTCAGTCACCGCCCCGCCCGCCCACCCCCGCTTCCGGTCCGGCGCCCTGCCAGCCAGCCAGCAAGTTAGGTCGAGAGCGCAAAGTGGTACGTGTCACTTCCCCGACGTCAGCGCGGGTTGGGCGGGTTTCGCGCCCAATCGGGCGGGTTTCGCGCCCAATCGGGCGGTTTTTTTTTTGCCTTGTGCTTTGGGCAAGGCTGGAGGTGATTAGGAGGTGGGGGAGGGGGGGGGGAGGGGGTTCATGGAGCCTACACTTGTGGGTATATTCTCCAGAGAGAGAGAGAGAGAGAGAGAAAAAAAGAACCCCAATAATAAAATCGGTCACTTCAATCCACGGCTGTTGCGCGCAATTGGCCCACAAAATGCACAGTCACTTCGCTCTACAGTCCATTCCGTGAAGCGCTTTGAGACATCCAGAAGACGTGAAAAGCGCTATATCAAATGCAAGGATTATTATTATTATACCCCACATGAACTCCCACAACCTCCCGCTCCCCTCCCCTCCCCACCTCTCTCTCCTGCCTCAATTTTTTTCAACCAACGACCACCCCCCCCCCACCCCTCTCCCACCCGCTGGTCTTCCAATTCACTCAAAACTTCCGCTTACGTTTTTCAGAGAACGACAGTCTCGTAAGGTTTCGATTCGGATTCTGACCGGTACGTCTCATCGCTTAGGCAATAAGTCAATTCATTTGAATCAATTGATCAAAAGTCGATTCATTTATTAAAAAAAAACTATAACAGGACAATTTGATGAGATGCCACAGTTCACTTACAACCCGGAGAGCCATAATGGGTGGGACAGTATTGGCTGAACAACTGCAGTGTGCTACGTTTACAATTACTATATATTGGAGACAGGTTTGAGCTACCTATATACATCTGTCCCTGTGTTCCGATGACATTAAACAGGTCCTAAGTATCCAAATTGAACTGTTGGGTCAATAATAAAGATTTGTACAGTTGTCTTGTATTGGTACAGGGCTGTTGTGCTGCTGGATGATATCAGCAGATTTAATAAATACCAAATAGCAGGACACGTTTACAAAAGCATGCTAAAGATATTAAAGGCAGAAATCTGTCACTACACCAACGTTTGACTGGTAATTCTTAATGTTTCGGGAACTTGATGAAGAATCTAAATACAGGTGTTTCGGAAAACAGGAATAGGAGAAGGTTATTTCAGGTCATCAAATCTGTCCTACCAATTTATTAGATCATGGCAAATCTTTTAATCCCTTTTTCTGTAACCTTTAATACCACTACGAAACTCAGAATTTGTCGGTCTCTCGTTTTAACATTCCTCTAACAGCTTTCGGGGAGGGGGGGGGGGGGGCAGAGCGTTGCATAGGGCCACAACCCTCTTTGTGAAGAAATGCTTTGTGCCTTCAGTTCTAATTGTCTTAGTTCTGGTTTTGCAGCCGTGCCCCTTGTAAAGAAGAAATACTGCTAGTTTCAGAACTGTTGATACATCTGAGCAGTTGAAATAACAAAGGGGCAATGCCCATTTTCTTGGGAACTCCTGGTCAAGACATTACAGTAACCCTTTCGGTGGGTAGTTAATGGCATTCAATCATCTGTTGGAAAAGGTCGGCAGAACTTCAGCAAAGGCTAGATACAGTCTGTTGCAGAAGTAACTAATCCTCTTTGCCACATAGTCCACAGAAGCAGCATCATGTAAGATATTTGGGGATTGGGAAATGCTATAACATTTAAAACTCCTTTCCCTAAATATAAATTTAGGAACAATTGTGCAACCAAGTTTACTTTTAGTGACACTTAAACCAGCGTCAACCTTCCCCATTCAGCGCTATGAGCATATTCAGACGAAGCTCAGAGTAGTTCTGGAGCAGAACCAAACCAGTTGTTGGGCCCAGTTTGAACAAAATAATTTTATAGCAAAATCAGGTTCATACGATTAATTGATCCATTGGTTCTTAAGGTACAAGATTTTGCAAAGTCCTCATCATATTACCCCATCCCTCCATTTTCAATGGGTCTGCCTTCACAAACAATCACTGGATTTTCAAAAACAATCATGTTTCTTCATTATCTCAGTGGGATCATAAATACATTTATCATAATTAATATTGGTTTAATATTGTACAATAATACAAGCTACCTTTTCATCATGACATTCCCTGATGGTCATCTGGATTGAGACTAATACTGACCCAAACATTGTGGTAATTCAACATCCTCCGCCTGTTACCCCCTCAAAACGATGAATAGCATTGATGCGTTCTGAAATTCACATACTTGGCACACGTATACAGAAAGTAACATTTAGGCACAAGTTAGCTAATGCTTTGCTGTGAAGTCTAGTCTCTCACACAGATACATGCGCTCTCTATAAAATGCTATTCACATAAAAATGTACCACTTTGAAAATCACACGAAATTTAAAATCCTCTATTCTCCCAGGACTGTAAAACGGAAGGCTGCATGTATTCCATGGCGAGTCAGACGGATGTGGATAGGTACAAGGCAGGTATGGAGGAACAGACACAATCTGCGTTCGGAAACATATGTGAATCACGGCTAATTATCAACCACTTTTCCAGTAGGACTAGCCTGCCTTCTTTTTTAACGAATGTACCTTGGACAGAATGACAGATAACACATTGTCCTCAACCGTTGTTTACTGAGCTGATGCGGATCTCTGTTTGGCAGGGGATGGATGAGGAGATGATGATAGCTGCTCAGATGAGCCCATCGTTGTCATGGCAGATTGAATGTGAACCGTCTTGTGAAAGAGTTTATTGCTGAGCATGATCACAAAGGAAAAGAGGTGCAGCTGGAAATGACTGGAAAGAGGAAGAATGGAGCTCGCATTATAATTGGTTCACGCACATTCTTTTCCATTTGTCGAATAACAAAGAAATTCAAACTTTTATCAGAGAATCATAGAATCTTAACAGCACAACAGGAGACCATTCGGCTCATCATGCCTATGCCGGCTCTTTGAAACAGCTATCCAATGAATTCCACTTCCCCACTCTTACCCCATAGCCTTGCAATATGTTTCCTTTTCAACTACATATCCATTTTTCTTTTGAAACCTACTATCGAATCTGCTTTTAAAGACACACAAATGTCTAATTTTCCCCTGCATGGGCGCTTGTCCCATATAACCTCCTTCAGATGGGAGATATAGTACAGCTGAATACCTATACTCATCGTACTTTCAGTCTCTTTCTTCTCACCCCTCTGGGCTCACCCTCAGTTCAGGAGTCCAGCTAGCATCTTCAGGTGCTTTGAGCCAACCTCCAATAACGCTATGTAAATGTTATATTGTACGGTAATTGGGACATTGGGGATATGGAAACCATGTCACAGAACCACACAACACATTTCCAATTTAAGAACCACACTGAAGATCAGATTTGAAAGGTACTTACAACAGCTTCACTGGACTCTTTGCTTCATTTGCACTTATTATAAACAAAGGAAAGAGAATGGAGAACAAGCAGCCGCTGCAAAACAGAAGAGAAACAGGATTATTCTCCACTATCTACAATTATTCAATACACAGGGATATGTCAATACAGTTATTTGCATATCAAATTTTTGTACTGCATCAATTTGAACCATGAAACCCTCACGTTCTATTCAATGCTAAGCCACTCACAACCAACACCAACTAGTATTTACATAGCGCCCTCCATGCAGGTAGCGACTTGGGAGCATTTGATAGTGGCAAAGCTTGACTCCAAGCCGGGGAGATAGGAAACGTGAGCACAATCACAGTACGTACAAAAAGCAGAATAACAATGAAGATTTAATATATATTGATAAGAGGATTACTGCAAACCTGATCACATAGGATGATGGTAGGGCAGTGAGGATAGCCAAAGGTAATCCAAAACCGAAGTAATAAGGCCAATTCCTTTCTATGTTGGATAAACGCTGGTGCATTTCCACCCCTGCAAAACACAAAAAAACAAAATATGTTCAGAAATGACTCATTCCTGACATAAACCTTGTTTTAACAGCGTAAATGTTGTACTTGGATGACATTCTCTGATGCTTTTGACATATTATAATAATCCTTACATTTGATATAGCGCCTTGTCACCTCAGAGACGTTTTAAAGCTTTATACTGTGTGAATTTTACTGTGAGATGCAGTGACTGCATATTTTATAGGCAACTTGTACAGTCAACAGTTGTCACTTGAAATGTAGTTGTTGCTGGGCACATTGCTGCTGCCCGGTCTAACACATTTCCCATTTACTTACCATTGTTGAACCATTTGTACTCGAAGCAGTAGAGAGAATACAACATTGACATATGAAATAGACTGCCCAGTTGTCCGATGATTTCAATAGGAAAGTGACTCACTATCATTCCCTGGGGAAAAGGCAACCGAGAAAATTAGATCAGACACCAAGTCCTTCGTCAAATATGATCAAAGAAACCAACACACAAAACTGATGATATTCTGCAAAATAATGAATGTACTGATGGGAGCCAAGCAGAAGAACCTCAGTCTTGTCAATAGTGTTAGATGTCTGACAGGTAATCGATCAGAATAGCAGAAGTCCTGTAATTAAGGGTAGAGGTAGCGAGATAGAATTGGGTATCATCCACAAACATGTGGAAAGTAGACCCATGCCTACAGGATGCTGTACTTCCGGATACCTCGGCATGCATGTGAAAAGAAGAGGACTGAGGACAGAGCGAGGACTGAGGAAGTGTGCAGGAATCGGAGGAGAAGCCAATAGAAGAAACAAAGTGAAGATGCTGGGACAGGTAGGAGTGAAACCCGGGAAAGGACGGTGGAGCAGGGAGCAGAAACGGTGGAGAAAGATGGGAGTGGTTGGGCAGTATTGAAGGCAGAGGAGAGATCAAGAAGTACGGGGAGGTAGTGGAAGCCCTGGTCAGACAGAGTGAACATTTTATGAGTTAGTTTATGACTATAAACCCAATACGATCATACCTGAATGAGGAACAAGGCTTGGAGGAGCAGGTTGAACAACATGTCGGCGATAATCTTACTGATGCTGGGGAAGGGCTGTGCTTTCCTACCGGATACCTTAAATGCCAAGTCAGCAATGTCCTGTAAATAAGAAACACAATTATAACGGAGTCGAATCAGTCGGATTCAAATACTAATTCGGACTTCTTGCAATTTCATTTAAGGAAGTATTCAAGTAAAAGCTATTGTATTTTCCTGTGAATAAGATCCTTTCCGCAATCTTACTTCACGATCTCTTGATAGATACCGTAGATGAACAAACACGTTCCGATGCACCGCCAAGTGGAACTTTGAACGGATTACTGTGCAGTGCTTTCGAGGAGCCTGAGTAAGACTCTCTTCCCTGTGGGAAAAGTGCCCACTCTCCCTCTTCATAATGACAGGGTTAAGATTAAGAATTGACCAGTAAGTAATGATTAGCTGGTAGTTGCTGGCACGCCTCAACTATTCGAGCATACTGCACCACACATCACACTGAGGAACGTCCTCAGTCAGTCCTTTATTTGGTGACTTGCACCATGGCACAAGAAGGGACCAGGATTGAGGTACAGACATTAACGGCAGTCGGTAAAAACCTTTTGGGTTAAGGGATAAACGGTACCCTTACCCTTTACCCTGGTGCACCTGAGCCTGGTTGCGGAAATGATGGGGATTGTAGGTCTGACGGGTGCTTAGGACGTCCTCCCGACGCAAAAGGCACTATACAAAGGTCATTTTGTATTGTATTGAATATTCTCAAGCGTGGTGATGGGCTTCCGTCCATGAGTCAGGCACCCAGCAGTTGTACTAGACATTTTACAATTGACTAAATCCCAGTTACTTGAATTTCCGGCAGTTTTGAGACAAACAGCTTTGGCTTTATCAGTGACCTTAACTTACCTGGAACCAGATGGCATTAACTATCTTACTGAGGACGAAGAGAGGAAGTATCCACAACGCACTGAATGTAGAGTTCAGGATAAATTCCAACCAAGACCAGACATCCCCGTGCAATGATGGGTCACCTGCACATGACAAAGACAGCATTTCACACAAGTACAATCCCATAAAGGGAGCAGTATGGAGAATTAAATATACTACTTTTGTTCTGTCTGTTCAAGTGGATGTTAAACATCCTACAGTATTCAAAGAAATGGGAGTTTCTCGCGGTGTCCTGGCCATTAATCCTCCAGATAAAAATGATTCACTTCATCGCTGTTTGTGGGACATTGTTTGTGGGACATTGTCACGATACTTACAAGGGTATAATTCGCCATGCTCTGTGAAGCACTTTGTCGGGTTTCAATGAGATAAGGCGCTATATCAAATGGAAGGGTTATTACTTATCCCTATTCCCTTTAGTCCCCAACCTCTACTTACCAATAATGCGTGCAGTGATGGCTTGAAGCAGAGGGATAAAAATTCGATAAAAGACAAAGATGCTCAGCTGTGAGGAGAAGCAGAAACAAGCATTATTAAAAGCAAAGAGGAGGCGCAATCTTCTGTAGAGTTTTCCTTATAATGACATTCCAATAACATTCCTGGAGTGTGCAAACCATACAGGTACGGTCGCTCAGCCTCTCTCTCCCCGCAGGTGACTATTCAGGGCCGGAGGAGATACTGTTTGTGAAGACAAAGCGATGCCGGTGGATGAAGTAGGATTCGAACTAGGAGTGTGGAGTCCCAGTGAGGTGGATGAAGGAGGAGAGATGGTGGAGGAGGATGTCGTGGTCGACTCTGTCGAAGGCAGCGGAGAGACCCAGGAGGACAGGGAGACAGAGGGAGCCCTGGTCACAGAAAGAAAGCACGTAATTTCTGACACTGACGAGGGCTGCCTCAGCTCTTTGCCCCGCACTAACAACTCATCACTGCATACCTCCATTCGCAGGTAAGACCTACTCCCTTATATCCAATTCTGGGGCAGGCAACTTCCCACTAGTTTGAAAATAACTATCATTTTAAAGGCTGAGCAGTGAGAACATTTTAAATTTGAGAAAAAAGCAAGCTTTACCCAAAATATTCCTCCATTCCATGCACAGCACTGCAGGATCCGGCTTGCTATCCGAGGCTCACTGAAAAACATTGGAAATTCACAATACAATATTTCATATTATAGCAGTTCCAAGTGATCCAGGTTGAAGAAAAGCTTCAACTGGACAGATTACAGAAGATTCCAGAGCATGAGAGAGGACATTTAGATAAGCCTTCAATTGTATAATTTATTAAGGAATAGGGAATGGGGTTAATCACCTTCACTCAGTGTCCAGACTTGATCCAAAAATAAATGTGTTTTTGTTAAAGCCATAGTATCGGTTTCTGCTCCTTTGGCTTCGTAAATCACAGAATCATAGAATTATACAGCACAGAAGGAGGCCATTCGGCCCACAGTGTCTGTGTCGGCTTTTTGAAAGAGCTGTCCAAATGAATCCTATTCTCCCGCTCTCTCCCCATAGCCCTGCAAATCTGTCCTCCCCAAATATCTATCAACTTTTCTCTTGGAAGTGGTTATCGAATCGGCTTCCACCACCCTTTCAGGCAATGCATTCCTGATCCACTCGCTGCGTGAAAATATAGTTACACTAAACATTATTTTTTATTTTTCTAGCTTTCTTGATGCGACAGCAGTGATACAGTGGAACCCGTCCAGCAGCGAAGTGACCAGTTTGGAGGCTTATTCAATGCCTCGGGATGTTAAGGCACAATTTACTCACTTCTCATCTCTTTTCTCCTCAATGTGTGCTCTCCGATGCGCCAGAGCTCCGCGCTGCTGTTCCTTCTTTCTCCTTTGTTCCTCCCTCTTCTGGTGAATACGCTCATCGAGCTGAGATATCGTCCGTATCCCAAAAATGGAATCCTTTATCCCCTGAAATAAAAGCGTGCGGATGCATTAAAATTGAATGACTTTCAAAAACATGAGGTGCACGTCTTTCATTAGCAAAAGATAAACAACTCCAATGCTGGTTCAGTAGATCGCCCACAAAACACACAGTCAATTCACTTCACAGTATATTCCGTGAAGCACTTTGAAACGTCACGTAATGCCAGGATTACTATTATTAGTATCGTTCCCTCCTGTGCTACTGAGCCATTGTGTTTATTTATATCTGCATCACCAGCTCACCTCAGCCAGAGCTGAGGTGTATTTTCGTTATCTTATTTGATTGGAAAACAGGCAAATCCAACCGAAAATCGGGGTTCGCAATTCCACATCATTGAGTGTTTAAAACGACTTCTCCGGGGAATTTTCCTTTGGATTCAATGACTCAAAATGGTTCAAGGCAAATGTAAGGGGATCGCTTTTCCAGGGGTAATAATTCCTTCCAAAAAAATAATTTGGTCACTCAATCCACGACTGTTTGTGGGGACGCTGCTGTGCGCAATTGGCTGCTGCGTTTCTCCCACAAAATATACAATCAATCCACTTTACAGTATGTTCTGTGAAGCGCTTTGAGACGTCTCGAAGATGTGATGAGGCGCTGTATCAAACGCAAGGATTATTATTATTATTATGTAGAGCATTTACCTTTGCCACATCGAGAAGGAACGTTCTAACACTCTCAGCCATTGTAAGAGCAGCGCCAACGACATCAACTGCACACCATAGCAACAGCAACCTCACAGCACCATCTCATCCTGGGAGGACAACATCCAGTTCAGAAATCTAAGCAGCAAAGAGACAGAGACATGGACAGATCAGTCACAGCCAAGTAGCTGTGGAGCTTCATCCTTTAGGTTGTGACGGGAACAATAGCTACGGGGAAGAATTATATGTTTCGTAGCAGGTAAGCGATGAATATCACTCAGCATGACTCACAGTTTAGGCTACGAATGAGTCAGATTTCTGCGATTATATGCTTCAGAGAACTAACTTCCATGTCAGCACAGTGACTCACCAAAACTTGTTGAATTTCAAATAATTCCCTCTATGAGCAGGGATTAAACCTCAGTTCAAATTAAATCAGGATAGAAATCATAGGCATTTGATGCAGTGTCTTTCACATCGGGAGGACATCTCAAAGTGTGTCACAGGATTTACTATTAAAGTATAGTGACTATGTATCTGGAGGCCAACTCAGCAGCCAATTTGCGCACAGCAATGTCTCACAAATGAATGATCGTTTATATTTATCCAGGGGCACCGGGGGAAAAACTCTTCTCTTTTCGAATAGTACCACGGAATGCATAACATCCATCCCAACAGGTAGATGGGACCTCAGTTTAACGACTCAACTGAGTGTCAACCTTCCACCATCCTGGGAGTCGCCTGACATGTCGTGTTCCGAACAATATATGTATGAATATACACATATACACACACACTGTATCCCAGATATTATTTTACTGTATTATTTTCTAGCTTTGAGGCGTACATTTTACATGAAAGCGGCCACGTGAACCCGGACGATGAACGCGATTGTAATCGTGGATAGGACTGTAATTATGGATAACAATTTGGTCGCTCAACCCATGGACTGTTTGCGGGACGCTGCCTGCGCGCGACTGACTGCTGTGTTTCGCACCCCCCGCCACCCCCCCCAAAAAAAAAATCAGGTTAGTTCGCTTTACAGTATGTTCCGTGAAGCGCTTCGAGACGTCTCGAAGACGTGATAAGGCACTGTATCAAATCCAATGATTATTATTATTATTATTATAATAAAGTACCTTTGTCCCTCACGGGTCAGAGAAGAGTTATTTCTGTGTGGACAATAAGGCAGAAACTTCAGCTCCTACTTATACACACACACACAGACACACAGAGACACACACACACAGACACACACAGACACACAGAGACACACACACACACTGACACACACACAGACACACAGAGACACACACACTGACACACACACAGACACACAGAGACACACACACACACTGACACACACACACAGACACACAGAGACACACACACACACTGACACACACACAGACACACAGAGACACACACACACACTGACACACAGAGACACACACACACTGACACACACACAGACACACAGAGACACACACACACTGACACACACACAGACACACAGAGACACACACCCACAGACGTATACCCACACAAAGACACTGAGACACACGCGCACAGACACACCCACACACCCAGAGTCACACACCCACAGAGACACCCAACCACAGAGACACACAGACACCCACAGAGACACACACCCACAGAGACACACACCCACACAGACACCCACACAGACAGCCACACACAGAGACACACACACCCCCACAGACCCACCCACAGAGACACACACCCACAGAGACACCCACACAGATACCCCCCACAGAGACACCCCCCCACAGACAGGGAGATGGACACACCCCCAGACACAGCCCCACAGACACTATAACTCACCCTCGGGGCTGAGGCTGTGACGCTCTCTCCCGCTGCTCAGGCCCCAAAGGCAGCGCCGCTCAACGCGCATGCGCCGCACGGGGCCCCGCCCCGAAAGGGACGCTGGGAAACGCAGCCGTGCGTCGGGCGAGAGAAACTACGTTTCCCAGGCTGCAACGCGCGCCAGCCATGGAGCATGCGCAAGCTGTGAACACTGGTGGGGGAGGATGATGGACAACTTTTGTGCCACTTTATCAAATGCAAGGATTATTATTATTATTATTGCATATTAGTAATAAATAACAACAATCATATCAATAGTATATCAATATTATTATGAATAATATTAATATTATATATTCATATGTTATTATATGTTACAATGGAATATTAATAATAACAATTAATAACAATTAATAATAATACTATTAATAGTACTATTAATAATACTATTAATAGTATTGTATTAATATTATGAATAATATTATTTATATTATGAATAATATTATTTATATTATTATCAGTAATAATACTATTAATAGTATTGTTATTATACTAATATTATGAATACTATTATTATTATTCTTTTGCTTCCTAAAATGAAAATGATCAGTAATTGTCCTTCCTCCTAAATTCTCTCTTTACTTTTTTTAAAAATCATCTTCAATGTGACATTGCTGTGTGTAACACTGATCTGCTTTAGTGCTGTCCTGATCTAAAACGAGACAACTCCGCTGCCTGAATATCAGTCAGCTAATTGCTCTGTAGAGTGTACATCATACAGACATACGTACAAACAAACATGCTTACATATATTTAATTACTATTTTTGCGTTAGATTTTAATTATAAATAGGGATATCATGTTTGCGGCCACTTTACATGCATTACAAAGTTTTATGTACTATTCTTTGCCTCCATTGCTTTCAACACTCTCTATTTTTTTGCTTTTAAGTGGCTTCCGTTTTCTGAAGTTTACTAATGCAAGTGTCAATTTCACAAGCGCATTCGTTTCAGCGGGTGTTTATTTCACTCTGATCTCAGGTAACACTAAGATACTAAAAGCTGTGTATACCCTGATCTACAGCATATCTGGATTCTCACCAATTGCTCATGACCGCATAACTGTAAAATCTATGCTGTGAATTTAATGGCGAGCCTTCGCTTAAGTATTTTTATGCTGAGTGGAACAGGCTCCCTTGGGAGAGACGGCGGAAGCAGACAATGTTGTTTGTTTCAAGAACCAATTAGACAGATTTTTGCTGGAAAATAACATACAATACAAAATTACAGTTGTACGGCACCTTTCACGTCAGGAGGACGTCCCAAAATGCTGCTACAGGAGACTGTGTATAGTTTGGGGCACGACATGTCGAGCAACTGCCACGATGGTGGAAGACGAACTGGGTCGACCTCGCGCTTCTTTCGCCAGCAAATTCTTATGTTTTTATGTTGATCAAAGCCATGTCTATCTTTGTAAGCCTTTCGTTTCTCCTTGCTTCTGGTAAGTCAAATATTCACTCTGTTTTTGGGGTCCAGCTGTTGATCCAGTGCAGTGTAGTCCCTTCAGTGCTTTCCTACTTCAAGTCTCCCTTTTCTTTCAAAATGTGAAACATCGCAAAGGTGTTCGACCAAAGTGAAACCTTGGATCGAGTCACTTTATTTTTGGTCATTTCAAAATTGTCGTGGGCATCAAGTAGTACTGCCATTTCATTGTTTTAAGACTGAATTGTTTGGCACATTAGGGAATGTTCTGCCTTGGCGGAGCTTGCTGTCAAAGCTTAACGCCAGGCATTATATCTGGTGCAATGTGGTGCCAGGAGTTGAGTTGCGATGTGAATTGAGCACTCGCTTTGGCTTCACGTTTGGCGGTGAACTGCTGCTAAAATGATGTAGATGCGGCAGTTGGTGTATTATTGCATTTTATGTACTGCAGAGTTTATTTTGAAAATATGGGCTGCAAAAGCTTCGAGATGCTACATAATAATTTGCGAGCAGCGTGGATTTTATCGTTGGCTTTATTTTATGTAGGTTTTGTAGTAGCTTTGTCCTCTGCTGATCACTCTGCAACAAACTGTACTGCAGACTCTCTTATCAACTGTACAAAAGGACAATACTACACATCTGGTCACTGCCTTGAATGTCCACCTGGATTCTAGTGAGTACAGCGTTGTGTTTTGTTCTGATATTTAGCTGTTATTGGTTGCACGTATTGGATTTAAGGTACTACCAGCCTCTGGCTACCAGAGAAATAATGTTTCTGTACGAATTCATGACCAACTAGTCTGTACGTTAACCTGGTCTCAAAGTAAAAAAGAAAATTATAAGCTGTTTCAAACTAACCAAGGACCAGTCTGATGAAACACAATGGTCTTCTCCAGTAGTCTGGGAATTTCCTGTGTTTCTAAGAAGAGTTTGAATCTTGCGTAGCTCTGTTTAAATGAATAAATTATATATTAAAATTAAATGTGTGCACAGAGCCTATGTTAAGGGAGTTGACGCGTGCTGCAGTCTGTGGGGTGAGCATACCAATCGATCTTGTCTTGTTCTTTGTTTTCTAATAATAATAATGATCGTTGCATTTGAGATAGCGCTTTATCACGTCGTTGAGACGTCTCAAAGCGCTTCAGGGGTTGTACTGTAAAGTGAATTAACTGTGTATTTTGTGGGTGAGTCTCACTTTTGACGTGGATTTAAAACCTTTGTATTGATTGTTTCCCGCGTTGTAGCTGCCCAGGGAGAGGAGCAGACCCAAGGAGATGCTGTCCCGGCCCACGCATTGATTCTGCTGAGAAAAATAACGTTACAGAATGTCAGGTGAGCACATCGCCTCCATTTTATCTCTTTCAATGGCTTCTCCTTTTTCCTGCCACGAGGCATTGCTGAGGCAAAGTCCTTTTACTCTCAACTATTGAACTGCACGACTCAGAAAACAAGCGCAGTATAAATATTGTGTCCAATGTTTACTGAGTGATTAAAATAATGGCAACAGGAACGTGAAAGACAATGTATATACCTATTGTTCATTACCTTTGCTTTGTGTCAACAACAGCAAAAGGACATTGTAAGCAGATAGTAGCGTTGAAATTAAAGTGGCAGTCAGTTAAACAATAAAGCAGGATGATAGAAAAGGGAAAGTATACCGGTCTTCGAATGTGTTGCTTGGGAATCCAATTTAGTCGAGTAGAGTCTGATTTCTGTCATGTAAAACCCATCAATTAATAATGTCCATTGACCTGTGCCTCCTGATTGCAAAGTTTCCTCATTTGAGTTATGTTTGCTCTTGCATTTTAATTGAGGTGAATAATTTATAGTTGAACCACTCAGTGCTCAATCGGCAAGAAATCAGAGTAGCATTAAAACCTACAGTGAAATAGTAGCTCACGATCCTACAGTGACAGCTTTACTGAAGTACAGTACATTAATATTTGGCTTTTATCATGAATTTTGACTGTTGAATGATATCGATTGTGGAACCTGATAGAGGTGAGCAGTACTGACTGGTGTCATCCTCCTAACACTACCCTCCCTGTCCTGCACCGTTTCTGATTCCAAACCCCAACTCAGGTCCAGAACCCTGACTGTCCAAGGCCTTGGGATGTCCTTCCGACGTGAAAGGTGTCGTACAAATGTAATTTGTCGTCGGCGTTGTTGTTGTTGGTGGTGGTGTAAATATAATCCTGAAAGTATTTTGTTGAAAATGATATAAATATATCAATTGGCTTAAATTGTTTGAACTGAAATTGTTTGAACGGCTATCTTTAAGACCTTTTAGCACTCTCGGTTCTCCTTTTTTCTCCGCAGGAGTCTACCCCCAAGCCGTGTCCAAATGGTACTTACAGCAATCTACACGGACTAGAAAGTGTGTCCCAATGTGCTCTCTGTCCCGCTGGAAAATACTGTTTCAGTGAAGGGACCGAACCTGCGGCGATCACCTGGCCTGTGAGTAATCAAGCATTGCAGACACGGCTGAAAAGTGTTAACAGACATTAGGGTATTTTCTGTGAGGTCTCATTACATTAGAGACTGCTGTTATGATAGTATGATAGGAAGGACTTTAGAGCCTGTGGAGATTTAACACGTCTTCTTAAAACAGTGGTGTGGATCCCAAAATGTGAAACTCCCCTCCGAAAAAAGTTTCGAACTTTTAAATAACTAATGTTAAAGGTACACTAACAGAGGAAGGTCTTTAGATGGGACGATGGGACAAGACGCTACTAAAGAGCAAATAGCAAATAGCTCACGTCCTTTGGTTGTAGAGCGTCTCAGAGAGTTTTGTTAAGCGCTCTGAGACGCTACCTGTGTGGAGGGCGCTATATAAGTGCAAGTTGTTGTTTGTTGTTGTTGTTATAGACTGGACACTGCCCCAGAGGACACTACTGCCCACTGGGGACGGGGAACCCATACTCTTTCCCATGTAAACCTGGCTTCTACCTGAACACATCTGGAGCAGAGACAGAGGAGAGCTGCTTCCGGTGCCCACATGGCTTCTACTGCAACCATTACGGTTCCAAAGAGCCAAACCTCTGCCAGAAAGTGAGTATTTTCTAAACAACGGAACACATTTGGATTCTTCCTGTGCTTTTTGATGATGCGGCAAAAGCACAATATCAAACGCAAAAGGATTACTATTATTATTATTCTCTTACTATGTTTCAAATATTCTTCATACCAGCTCGGTGTGTTCCCTCCGCAGGGCTTTTACTGTGTGAGTGGCAGCGTGAACCCACACTCCTGTGGCCTTGGAACATACAGCAGCAGAAGTGGCCGTCGGACAGTGTCTGAGTGCCTGCCTTGTGGAGGTGGGCAATACTGTGCTGATGTAGCTCTGACTAAACCAACTGGCTACTGCAAGGCTGGGTTCTATTGCAGGGAAAGAGCGACTACAGCGGTAAGAGTCAAATATAGGTCCCGAGTTTCTAATTTACAACCCGCAAATCCCCGCCAAGCCATCATAATCCCTTTAGTCATTAGTTACGCTGTGACCTACACAATAAGTGTAAGGATTACACCGGCAACTCTCCAAAAAAAAGGTCTGAAGCAAAAGACTCACAGGAATTATCATAGTGCCAGATGATCATATCTGTAACCCAAAGTCA